TCCTAAACCAAGAGCCCCATCGACTCCCTACAACAGGTGCCCGAGGCCCTCGGAAACAGCGGCGACAGCAGCTCGCCTCACTGGGAGAGTTTAGAGTCGGTGTTAGGGGCTTAAGACTTTACATGGTTGTAGAACTGTAATTTGCATTTCTTGGGGGCTTAAGTGCGGTTTTGGGGCTTAGGTCTTTAAAGCCTTGCAGAACCCCAGCAAACCTATAAGTCGTTCAAGCATCGCTTAAACGACGCATGACCCTAAACCCCCAAGCCCTGGCCTTTGTGGCCTCTCGGGACCCATTTCGGCGTAGAAAAGGAGTTCAAAAAAACAAAAAACCCGAAGCCATATTAAAACCCTAGTAAAAAGCGCAATTAAACCCTATTAAAACCCTATTAAAAAGCCCTATTAAACCTATTAAAACCCTATATTAAAACCTTTTAAAACCCTAGTATTAAAGCCCTGTCAAAACCCGTGAATCCGCCGGGTCCTGGGTGCCACAGATTCCGCGGAGAAGTCCACGGGCGCCGCGACGCGGCTCAGGGAGCTCCTGGAGGTCTCGCGCGGTTAGAGCGGGTAGGGGGGGGGGGGGGGGGGGAATACTTAAAGGATCGGGTACTTTATAGTATAGTATATAGTTATTATAGTATAGCTATAATTAATATAGCTATAGTATAGTTATAGTAGTTATAGTATATCAAACTTCTTCTTGCTTAAAGGGGGGGGGAGTAGGGTCTACCCATAGGCCCCAAAGTAGTTCCTTTTTGGGATTACCTTAGAGGGTTCTATATATGAACACCAAAAAGGAACTACTTTGGGGCCTTAGGGTAGAGGGGGAATACTTAAAGGATCATGGGACTTAGTAACCAGGGTTATAATTAGGGTAGCTATACTTGTAGCCCCAATCAAGGTACTTATTAACCTTACTTACTAAGTCCCATGATCCTCCAAGTAGGATCCATAGAGGCTTTAGGGTCTATCGTTTGGGGGGGTTGTAGGGTTTGGGGTTTCGGGATGGTTCCGGGCTTTATGGCTTGGGGGGCGTTAGGTATATTTGAAGGATTGGTGTAGAGGAGTTGTTGTACACCCCTTTATGGTGCTCACATATTCTACTGTCACATCGCTCACAATCATACTCCTACTTGTACAGGCCTCCACACTAGGCTTTGTAGGTTTAGGCTCTTTGTGGTGCTTGGGGGTTTGGCTGCTTCAGGGCAGAGCCCCAGGATTGCAGCCGTGGGAATCCCTAGTTTGGGCTCAGTTGAGCTCCTTATCTAGAGGGTCTGTACCTAGGCCCTGGAGGCTCTATCGTTTAAGGCTTGATTATACAATATAAGGACCTCATAATCAGGACCTCTAAGAAGGTATGTTTTGCAGGGTCCAGGTATATACTAACGCGAGACTTAAGCCCCAAAAGACCATCCTAGGCATGGTTTTGGGAAGCCTGCTTCCGTAACTACGAATCATGTGGATCCGTTTCGGGTGAGGGTCCGGGGGATCTTCTGGGTTAGTGTTCTTGCTTCAAATCGCCAGATGTCGTCAGTTACAAAAAGTAAGCCAGTAAACTCTTGCCGTGTTACCCAAAAGCACGAAACCCTAGAATTAGAGAACAAGTAAGACTTGTACCCGTGGAGTGCTATGACCCTCTTTGGAACACCAAAAAACCGGAGAACGCTCACGAAGAACAAATCTACAAAGCCCAGTAACGCCTCTTTGTGAGACGTCCAAGAATCAAGAGAGTTTCCAGTCTTCGCCAGACGCTGGAGTTCCTCGGTGCGCAGCTGCAACGCAAGAGGGAGCCCGATCCCCGGCTAGCTGTTCTTTGCGAGCTATTCTTCTGTATGTGTGCGTGTGTGTGTGTGTGTGCGCTGTTTTCTTGGAGCACTCTCTCTCTCTCTCTGTCTCTCGCTCCGTCTCTCTCTCTCTCTCTCTCTTTTTCGGTCTCTCTCTCTCTCTCTCTGTCTCTCTCTCTCTCTCTCTCTCTCTCTCTGTCTCTCTCTCTCTCTCTCTGTCTCTCTCTCTGTCTCTCTCTCCCTCTCTCTCGCTGTCCCTCTCTCCCTCTCTCCCTCTCTCCCTCGCTCCCTCGCTCTCCCTCCCTCTCCCTCCCACGCTCTCCCTCCCTCTCCCTCCCACGCTCTCCCTCCCTCTCCCTCCCACGCTCGCTCTCGCTATCGCTCTCGCTCTCTCTCTCTCTCTCTCTCTCTCTCCCTCTCCCTCTCTCTCCTCTCTCTCTCTCTCTCTCTCTCTCTCTCTCTCTCTCTCTCTCTCTCTCTCTCTCTCTCTCTCTCTCTCTCTCTCTCTCTCTCTCTCTCTCTCTCTCTCTCCCCTCTCTCTCTCTCTCTCTCTCTCTCTCTCTCTCTCTCTCTCTCTCTCTCTCTCTCTCTCTCTCTCTCTCTCTCTCTCTCTCTCTCTCTCTCTGTTTCTATATATATATATATATGCATATTATTGTGATTCGTAGGTAGTGCTATTACTATAGACTTGATGTAGACATGTTTGTTGGTTTGTGGTATGTGTCTGTTAGTTGTGTACTCTTTATCGCTTCCGGTATGTCTTTCATAGTCTGATTTTACGACATAGGCCCCACACCTGACATATTTCAACTCCAGTGCTTACGACGGGCAACCCTAAACACCAAACCTGATCTTTCTCTTCGCTGGAACACGAAAGCTCCGGACGGCAGTATTAGGCTTCACGAGGGTGGTCTAGGGTCGGGTCTAGGGATTTAAACTGAGGGCTTAGGTTTTTTTGTTGAGTTTAAATCGTTTTAGAGCTTCGGGTGTTTGGGGGTGTTTTGTGGTTTAAGGTTCTTGCAGCTTCGGCAGATTACCAAACCCTCTGAACAACTGCGAGCTCTCCAGTACTTCTCCACATATCAGAGAAAAAACGAAATCTGATTTTCCCCTGCAAGATACCTAAGATACCAAAAAGGATTATCACAGCACCCTTAAGCCCTTATAAGATACCTCAGATAATATGTATGAGCTACCCTTATAGTACCCTTATAGAATCCTTATAGAAACCTCTATAGATCCATTTAAGGAGCCCTAAATTTTCAAGCAAAGTATCATCTTCGCTCCCCGGACGCTCATCGCAAGATTCTAAACCCTAAACCCCAAGCCCTAGGTCGGCAGCTCAGGGTGTGGCCTTCGCAGAGGAGAGAGGGTTTAAGGCTCCCTTTACAGGGATTCCTGGGGATCCATTGAAAATCGTTGGGGATTTCTAGGGTGCCTTTAAAGGGATTCCTTATTATAAAGTGATCTATAGGGGTTCCTTTAAAGGGTACCGTAAGGTTGCTGCACGGGTATCAGAGAGGGTTTAGGCGTTTAGGGCATAGAGGATTTAGGGCCTCAGGGGCTGGGATTTTAGGACGCAGGGTTTAGGGATTCAGTTTTTGTTTTTGCTTACGGCTTATCTTGGGCTCGAATAGGGAGTCTAGTGTTCAGGGTTTGAGGGTTTACACGGTGTTTAGGTTTTGTCGTTTGTGGTTTCGCGACTTGAGAAGTTAAAGGTTTCTGGGGTTCGAAAACAAGGATTTGGGGTTTATGGTTGTTTGAGGTTTGCATTTCTCGGATCTAGGGCCCAGGGGTTAGAGTGGGAGTTTGGAACTGAAAGGCTCATGTTGAGGGGTCTGCGGCTGTGGTCTCGAGGTTGTGCCAGCTAACCCTGAAGCTTAAACTTCAAAGACCCTCAACTCCTAAAGCCTTAAACCCGAAACTAGAACCCCTAACCTATAACCCGGAATCCCTTTACCCAAACCGCATGATACCTTAATAGTAAGCTTCTGGGACCCCCTAGAGATCCCTTTTAAGGGAAGCCTAGGCATCCCTAGGAATCCCTTTAAAGGGACCCCCTAGGGATCCGGTGCTTCGAGGAGCCCCGGCCACCCGGGGCAGCCCGCTGGCCGGAAAAGGCGCTACGCAGCGTTCGGGAGCTCGGACGGGTTCCTTTAAAGGGATCCCCTAAGGCCCTATAAGGGTACTATCTATAATTATAGGGCTCCCTTAAAGGGATCTAATTATAGGGGTTCCTTTAAAGGGATCCTCTAAGGCCCTAAGGGTACTATGATGTCTAGGGATCTATAGGGCTGCCTTAAAAGGATCTAATTATAGGGGTTCCTTCAAAGGGATCCATAAGGTTACACAGTATCATAGGGTCAAGGGCCATAAGGGTTACTATATAGGGTATCGTAGAGTTTCGGAGTTTTTGCGGGGTTTGGGGTTCAGCGGGTTGGGGTTGAGGCTTCAGGGCTTTCGTCTTTTTGGGTATACTGGGAAGGTTTCAGAGGATGACGGGGTCTTTGGGCTTGGAGTTTGTTAAAGGAGGTTCAAGGGCTACTGTAAGGGCTTTCAGGGGGGTTAATGAGGGTTTAGGGCTTCGAATCTACGGCCTACACACCAGGCGAGATATGGGCTCATGCATGCATGAAGGCATGCTGCATCTTTCTTTCATCGTGGTGGATGTGTATGTTCTGCAGGCATGCATACATGCAGCGATAGTAGTCACACAGGAAGTTGTGTGATTTCAGCCAGTTTGACGCGCTGAGTTTCTTGACACACCTTACGGGAGCGTCCTATCACCAGGGGCAGCGCAGGTTTACTTCGTTACGTGTTTGATTGTACCGGTTCTATGAACTCGCAGGGTTTGAGGGTTGCTAGGGTTTAGAGTAGTATAGGGGAGGGTTTTTAGGGTTCAGGATTTAGGGTCTTGCCTGCAGCTTGGCTCAATAGAAAGAGACAAGGGAGATGATCAGAGACACTTTAGCCGTACCAATATTAAAGTGATAGGTACGATGTTCCGGATTTCTCCCAGCATGTATACTGTACTTTGATTGATGACCGACGCAGGGACATGGACCCTAGAAACACCCAAGACCACCCCACTAGAGAGCATGACCAAACCCTTTAACACACCAATCCCGTAAAGGAACCCTCAAATGACCCCTTAACGGCACCCGGAAAAGAAATCTTCAAAGCAGCCTTAAAGCTTTAGTAACAGCATAGCCAGTCATGCTTCACGCCCGGGAGAACGACCCGATTTACTGGTTCTGGATTCGGGCAGTGTGCGTGCCCTGACTACTGTAGGGCTTCTGCAGGCAATGCAAGGGCCTGGGAGGCTTTCACGGTTTCACAGGGGGCCTTGATGAAGAATAATACGGTAGCAATAATGTGAATAAAACTAATAAGAACAATAAGTTCAAGTCGATCAGGTTTTTTCTGGCGTATCGAGAATTGCTCAAGGACTATATGGGAACATTGCTAGTCATCAACCAGACCGCTATATGGGAGTTTCCGAGAATTAGGGTTAGGGGTACCTTATTTGGGGTCCTTGTATTAAGGATCCTACTATTTAGGGTACTATACCAGGGTCTCCTGTTTTCGGAAACTCCCATATAATCCGCACACTTGGGCCCTTCTGAGCCTTCAACCTGAAGATCTTGGGAGGCCCACGCAGTTAATGGGTAGTTCTCTAAGTTAGGGTCCGGTTTAGGGCCGTTGTTTAACTATGAGGGTGCCTTTTTTCATGCAGACTAAAACTTAAACAGGGATCCAAAGTTTGAGAGATAGCTAATGCAGCGGCCTGCTGAATTGCGAGCACTGTTGTTCCTTAGAGCTACCGGCTTAGAATGATAGTCGAACCTACGTACTCCAAATGCCGGTTCGAATTACTCACGCCCCTACAGGCCCTATGTGAAGTGCCGACACTTTCAACGTTTTGGGGTGTCGGGCTGCCGGTGTGCAAGCGTTCGAAGGGATCTCGATAGGCTACGCGCGAGGAGCGACAGCGGTCTTCAGAAGATGAGCCCAGAGTTTAGGGCGTAGAGCGTAGCGTTTGCTGATGTTTGGGGTTTAGGATGCAAACCTAAACCGTTCAAACCCTCAACTCGCAGCTCACTTTTGGGAAGAGTCGTTCGGATTTAGGGACCTGGGACCGTTCCAAAGCCGAAACCCCTTTCGAGCCCCTTTGAGTGTATTTTATCACACCTCCATGTGGGACAAAGCGATCTAGAGCTGCTGGCTTAATTGGCCCCTCAACAATTACTGGAACGATTTCGTTGTTGCACTTTCAGATTATGAGTTAGCTAGACTGTCGGCATGCAAAAGGGCGTACCTCTTGAACACACCCAAACCCTACTAATCCTCAAACAGGCCACCCTTTGGCTGCAATGCGCCTTCAAGAACCGAATACCCCTAAAACCTACAGTTTGTGCCCCCAGCCCTAAACCTAAACCCTTAAACCTTCAACCCTACAACCCTACACGAGATCCCTTATAGAGCCCTTTAAAGGGCCCTTCAAAGGGAACCCTTGTCCTACACCAGGTTGTGCTTTACCTAGCCGTCGCAGCGAGTGCCACAGCTGCACTGGTCTCGACTCAACAACTTCCAAATCAGAATCACGTGAATCAAATAAAGCGTTATCGACAACAGTAGTAAGAGGGACGGTGACTAATTATCATGCAGGTAATAATCATAGCAGAAACAGTACTAATAGGAACACGAGTTCTAATTATCATAGAAATGATGGTAGCGCACTGAAAACAATGAGAATAGCAGTAAATGCAATAACCGTAAGTACTAAGTGTATGTGAGTGCAGGTGCAGGTAGGGTTGAAGAGTGTCTTGCTGTATGTGGGTTTCATTCAAAGTTTAGGGCCACTGCGGCAACGAAGATTGGTGGTAAACCAATGGGTTGCTATATCGGTGCAGTCATGTGTGTAGGGTGATGTAGGGTGCACTTCGTCGGTAAGTCAAATCTTTTCCTATCTCCGCGCACAGGACCCCGGTGCCTTCGACCCTGTACCCTAAACCCTACACCCTAAACTCCTAAACCCTAAACTCCTAAACCCCGAACCCTAAAGCCTTAACCCTCAGCACTTGGGAAGGGCGTGGTGGAAGTCCCAGACCTGAGGCTCAAGATAACGCCGAAGTTTCTCATAAGAGAACTATATGTTGGAAGCCGGAGAGTTGGAACCTGCATGCCCTGATTTCCCGTACCCGCTTGTCCCGGTACAAAAGTTCCAACTCCAAATTGTCCGAGTTCCAACTTTGCAGACAGATGTGTGGGTCTCGGGAAGAAGCCTAGCTGAAGCAAAATCCTGGCGTTAGCCATGCGCGCACAAAGCTTCCAACAAACGTGAATGCTTTGTGTTCGCATTCCACAAACATGTGGGTGTGTGGGGACCAAACCAAGCTGAATCAAGTTCTAGCTTTGCCTCAGTGTGCCGCACACATGCATGCTGCATTTTGGTAACGCTCCCGTCAGTGCAACAGCGCGGCGGACTGGAACGCGCATGTCCGAACACCGTCCTCAGGGTCCTCCAAAACTCCACTGGGGTGGAAGTGACCCAGGGTGACATAGTGGCCTCAGCCGAGATCGCCTTCTGCGAGATGCAGGTGGGTTTTATCGGAATTTCTGTTTTGGTTGGTAGGTGGGCAAGGGTAGTAGATCGCAAACAAGCCATATGTGTAGTGGTGTAGACTTACAGAAGCTTAGAGGGCCTAAGCTCAAGCAGAAGATTGTGCTGCTAAGACAATTTCGACAGGTAGATAGATAGTGACATGATCTCCTAGATATCGACCGAGAGTAGATGAGTAGATGGTATTTAAAGTAGTAAGCCAAGACGTAGCTCACATTGCAGGAGAATGGCGTCTTCCGGTGCCAGAATGAGGACCTTCATGGCCTTCTTCAGGACTGGAAGAAATCCTGCCGGCAGCGCCTGCTACATCGCCTGGGCTACGTGGACCGCAACACCAACGACAGAAGCTACCCGAGGCAGTTTAGGCTATGAATGTTATCTGTCATTGGGGTGAGTTCTTTTCTTACACAGCAAGACCCCGAGCAATAGTAAGCTTTGCTGTTATTTTAGGAGACAGCTTTAGCTCGCAAGATAGTGTGTTCATGCTACAAGGCCGAGCCGGACGAGCTCCCGTTTGAGTCGGATGCTGCGCCATTAGACAGACAGCAGGCACAATGCTTTGCACATGAGAAGCCTTAAGTACATAATTCTGGAATCCGCCGTGACATGAACACGAACTTGGTCCCTGAAGGTTCACACGGGGCTCAAGTGCAACGTGGAGCTCCCCGGCAGGATGATGATCCAGATACCGGCGAAGCCTAAGGACATGCCTCACAACAAAAACACATACTAGTTCTGTAGTATCTTCGTAAGAAATAGGTGGTACCGGTGTGTCGTGGTCGTTGTGGTTGTTGTTGTGGCAGCAGAAGCCGCGTTTGTAATCTTCAAAAGGGCTCCAAAAGTCCCAGGACTGGCAGAGGCTGGCAGCTGCTGCCGGTGATCCTTCGGCAGCGGCCCTGCTGCATGAGGTGTGCAAACAAACTAAATGGCGCAGATCACTGGGTAAAGCGAAAAGCTGCCACAGCGGCTTCGCAGCCACAGCCGCAGGCAGCAGCATTTTGTGGCCTTTTGGCATGGACCTTGCAGCGGCCGCTATCAACATGGTCGCTGTGGGCAAGCACACCCGAGCCAACCGTTGGTAAATAACTTCAATCATAGCGTCATAGCACATTGCCTGAGGATTTCCGATATGCGGGTTTCGCAGATGCCAGGGTTTTGGGTGTGATCCAGCTTCGAGTACGTAGTGTTGGTGGCTTATTACGGTTTGCCAGTTGCGGTTGATTTCCAACGATGGCAGAGGAGAGTAGCACCACGATCACCACGAATAGACACGTGAGCGGTGAGGTCTTGCGCAAAAAGTCCGCTTGGGTGTCTCGGTATCCAGTAAGCCAGTAAGCCCCAATGACTTCACCCACGGTTCAGGGCTGCCCGAAACATTTGGAACCTTATGTAGGACTTCCTGGTGCACACCCGTGTAGGAGTAAGTCTTTGAGTAGTGGTTGTGATCGTAGTAGTAGTAGTAGTAGTAGTAGTAGAAGTAGTAGAAGTGGTAGCAGCAACAGTAGTTGCAGGAGTGGTAGTAGTAGTAGTAGTAGTAGTAGTAGTAGTAGTAGTAGTAGCAGTAGTAGTAGTAGTAGTAGTAGTAGTAGTAGTAGTAGTAGTAGTAGCACTAGTCTCAAAGCAGGTAGTTGTCATATCAATGGTACTAAAAGGTAGTTGTCGTGGTAGCAGTCTTCGTACTATTGATAAAGATGACGGTAGCAGTAGTAGTAGTAGTAGTCGTTGTCGCCTTACTAGTAGTAGTAGTAGTAGTAGTAGTAGTAGTAGTAGTAGTAGTAGTAGTAGTAGCAGCAGCAGTAGTAGTAGTAGTAGTAGTCGCAGTAGTCGTAGTAGTAGTTGTTGTTGTAATAGCAGTGGTGACAGCAGTAGTAGGTGCCCTCCACCGACCACCCCTCCCACGTACTCTTCTCGCGCACCTCCGTTTTGCTCGGTATTCGCAGTACTTTCGTCATTAGGAACATCTTCTCAAGCCTCAAAATCGACTTGCGAGTTAGCAAACTCCAGCTTCCGATTCTGGATTTGTTTTTTCGGGGTAGGGTGCTTCCGCGGCACGGATACCGGGGGGGTAGAAGGGGGCCTTCCCAGGCCGGGCTGGTGGTCTCTCCGTCCGTCCTCCTGGCACGGGTGGACCTTAACCTGCCGCCCTCCAATAGCCGGACTACAGGTTGCTCTACCAGAGATGTGTGTGGAATTCAAAAATTAGGGAACATTAAAGCTGCAACCTCGCATAAAGAGCTTTTGCAGTCTTAGCCAGGGGCCCATCATCATGCGGCCCCTAAAGTAGAGTGGGAACTTGGCCCCAAAGGGTAAAGCTCTCCTGGAACCGTGTTCCAACTTTGTGGTGTTCAGTGTAAGTGTTTGTGGGATGCTGGCTCTAAGAAACGGATTCCTTCAACTTCTGGGATATGTCAAAACTATAAAAGCCAAATCTAAACCAACAAATCAACACACACCAGCTGCTAGCTATTTCCTTAGTAGTAGAGGTAGGTAACATTTAGCCTTTTCGGGCACTGAGATGCGATACAATCCCAAAGACTAACCTGAAACTGGACAGGTAGGTTACCGCATGAACCATGTGAGCTCAAACTTCCGGACTGATCACATGACCTCAATAGTCCCCAACGGCCTAGCCAGCACAGCCCTCGAAGGGTTACCCTAAACCCGTAAACCCTACCCTAAACCCCCAAACCCCTGAACCCTAGAACCACGAAGCCCTTCAGTTAACAAGTTTCTCAATACAAGAAGCCCTCCCCCCGTCCCCTGTAAAGCCGTGAAACACCTTCTGAACATCCCCTGCAAAGTTAAAAATCAGATAAGGCCTTGATCACCTTCGTAGAAGAGACATATAAACCTTGCCACACCGACAAGCTGCCACCAACAAACGAACAGCATTCCGAGGACGTCTTTGGAAGCTTCATAGGCCCGAATCCTGGGTTGGGGGTTCCAGAAAGGCCTCTACAAGTAGGGGTAACTGTTAGGACAAAAATACAGGATGATGTAACGGGGTTCACGCTTTAAGGATTTGAGTTTTGGGAGGTTGTCGCATTAAGGTTTTCGTGGTGTTTGGGATTGGAGTTTCATGTATTGGTTGATGTTTCTGGTTCTGGGAGAAGCGTGAATCAGAGCTTGGGGCCAGGGTCTGTGGAAGCACTCAGGCGTTTTTATTGACAGCGTTTTAAGGTTTATGGCATACCGGAATTCATGGAGCGTTCGCTTTTGCGTCGCGTGGCCTTAATCAGGACAATGTCCTTCTGCGGTTTGCAACTGTTTTCTGAGGGTCAGCTTTGAGATTATATTTATATTAATACAAAAATGCAGTAGAGATAGCATGCGAACATAAAGGAAAACTATGACGACACTCGGATGGGCTTTTGAACAACATCCCAGGAACCCACAAAGGCTTGCTTGAGATTGGGGTATTACTATTCCTATTATCAGTCGTATTATTATTGGTATACTGTTCTTATTGCTCGTTTGACTTTTATAATTATTGGGCCCAAGTCCCTAAGCTGTTCTGTTCTAGCAATTTCCTTGCGCGGCTTACACAACTTAGGGCATGTGACCGTATATGCTCCTATGTAGCATACGCATTACCTGTGGTATGGGGTCCCCATAGCCTTGTCGGATCCTATTTGTTGGATTGACACCCCTAAAAGCCAACACCGCAAAGCATAGAACCCTAAAGCCCTAAAAGGGCTCTTGCAGTACTCTGGTAGAGCCCTGACAGGGACCCAATGCAGGAAAGGCCTGCGATCGGGGTTGTAGCCAGCGTTAGTGGCCAAGTTGGAGGTGCTGAGGGTCTCGGGGCAACTCCGGTACGGTTTAGGTCCTGATCTTGAACCCGATCGCTTCAAAATCGTGAGGTGAGATTTGCAACATGTGAACACCCTGCAGCATGCCAAGACGGAAGGAGCGGTGCCGTGCACGATTTCCTCAGCTCTCGCGTCAAGGTCTCTGGGCAGAAATGCGTGGTTCCTGTGGCTAGAAATTCTGGGCTAAGCTTAAATATTCAGTTTCTTGCTTTATGGTCCCTAGACTAGACTTTACCCCAAAACGCTGCTCGTTCCAGATGAAAGAAACATAGCCGGGGTGTTTTTCTCAAAGCTCGCGGGGCTGTCATTAGTATTGGCAAATGAGTACAACACATATTAAACACCAAGAATGACAGATAGTGATAATATCAGCAACAACAATGATCATGATAACAAGAATAGTGACGGGAATGGTGATGTACACTCAGACTGACAATGCAGTCGTCATGGTTTCGATGGCAGTATCATCCCAGAAGCAGCAGCTTGAACATGGTTGCATACGTATAAGCTCTCACCCCAACCAAGCCAAACTCCCGAAAACTTCAGCACCTCCTCAGGCGTTCGCGGCCAGTTGGAAAGCACGGGAGACGCCCTCCCTCTCTGCAGTCCAGCCGACTGAAGAAGCATTTCCAGAAAGTCCCAGTTCCTCGGTCCCTTGGTGGATTTGGCGCGGAGCAGGGTTTCGCCTAGGAAGGGAGCCTAGCAGTCAAGCTTTCGGGGTAGTTCAACGTCATCAGTCGCAATGGTTCACCATCCTTCAGGTCGAAAATACTCGAAAAGTAGGCCAGGGTATACCGAAGTGGTTCAGGGCTGGGTCTTTGCCATCGAGGTGGTATGCATGGTGCTTGTGAGAGTCAGCCTTCGTGGTGATAGCCCTCGAGTTCCCGCTATAGAACTCACGGAGCAGCTTGTCAGGTCAGAGTAGGTCGGTAATAAAGAAGCATGAGCACGTGGAAAGCAGGTCCCTACTCAGAAGCTTGAGTAACACTAATCGTTCGCTCAAGAAACTTTCATTTGTGGGGGTTGCCTGTTTGTCTGCGAAGTGTTTTTTGCTAACAAGCAGGCCATATGGGTTATCCCTACCTAAAATGCGGTAGACAAGGTTGAAGGTTATCTTGTGTCCAGATATTTGGTCCTTCTTCGGGCTGGAAATTTGCCGCGACCATAGCCGGTACATCCCAAGTCACAAAACTTTAAAACCGTCCTAAATCCTTTGTCAGACGAGGATGCCAGACTCAATGCCAAGCCCACTATAAGCTATTCTACATCAGTCTAGGACCGCTGGAGTCACGGCTGCTAGGAATCTGCCAACCCCCCCGGATGGTAGAGTCAACGTGCGCAAGTGACGAAAGAGCTTGACAACTCCTATAGTGGGCGTTGCGCATCTGATAGTCTTAGTATGTGGTGTAGGCCACTGAAAGCGACGAACCCAAGTCCTGAGCCCGAAACCCCGAAACATGATTCCCTGGCCAGAAATTCCCAGAGCCCACGAAAATCTAGCTGCTGAGGCGCATACCTTCACGATGGGCCTCCTTTCACCTGAAAGGCCGCCCCCACCGAATTGTTGTTTCAGGGTTGAGTCAACGACGGGGCTACGGCCAGCACTGCTTTTGGCGTGGAGGCGGTTCGTCATTCAGGCTGTTTGTTTGGCTGAACCAAATGAATAAAGAAATAAGTAAATTAGCACATGAATATATATAACTATAAATGTATACATATATATATATATATATACATACACATATAGAGCATATATATATATATATATATACACATACTTATATATTTTTGTTTATACAGTTCCATATATTTGTATATATACTCCTGTATAAATACATGGCTTGGAAGTAAGAAGCATGCTGTCGGTGGAGGGGGGGTTGTGTTGGAATAGTTCTTGCAGGAATGATCAATGAGATTGTGGCTTGTGGTGCTGATGGTGGCACGCGCTGTGACGATTGTTCTGATGAATGTGACACACAGAGTTTAGATGTTGGATCAGAATCAAGGTTCTGTTGCTGCTGCTTGTGTCGATGACATTATCGACGATGCTGTTGCGGTCTGCAGGCATCGTAGACGCCCTGGAAGCTGCCGAGTTCGGAAGCATGTTCCAATGTAAGCAATATACTGAGCATCGTGCATAGAGCCCCATGCGCGAATCAGAAAGGCAGCTGGAGACGTTCCAGGCCGACATTGCCTACTACACATTGATTCAGGCTGCCTGTGCCCTGTAAACACTGCGCTGAGAAGTCAGGATTTGGAGTTATGGGTTTAGTGCCTGAATGACCCACAACAAATTGGGTCCTGGACTCTCAATCCTCAGCTTTGCATTTGAGAAGAGAGATAAATGGAAGGATTCTGTTTTATGGTAGCGGCGTCGGGTGCAGGGGAGGGGAGAGGGGGGGGCGCAGCGATCCATGCTAGCAACCCATCCGTCACCGTCGTCCAATGCGTCCACGCCACAACCATGATCGTGTCCATGCTTCCAGCCCATCCATAAGCCAGTGCATCCATCCCGCGAGATTGATGACGCCCATGCTACCATCGCGCGCATGCCCCTAACGATGACAACGTCCGTGCTAGCAGCTTCTACATTGGGCAATGCATCCACTTCACAACGATGGTAACGTCCATGCTACCAGTGCATCCATGACAACCTCAATGCCGCCACTGCATCCAGGCCCCAACTGACAACGTTGTTGCTACCACTGCATCCATGCCCCTAGGATGATAACTTCCCTGGTATTGGTGCATCGAGAACAAATTGGTGCATCGAGAACAAAGGAGACCACAACCAACCAACAGCCAACGACTCAGGAAAAAGCTTTCGCCCCAAGGTCTCCTCTTGCACTCAAGTGAAACTGCCACGCCTGCCATGGTTTTCCACACCTCGGAGTCCCGAAGAGCGGTCAGATTCAGCTAAAACCCCGGCCGGTGAAAACACTCATGACACTATAAATCCGGTTGCACCAAACTACGCTGCCCGCACGCGGACGAACCACGCCGTTAACCTGGTGTATGTTGTATACATGCCTAGGACCGAACCTAGACTTTCCAGCCCCTAAAACACGCCACTGGAGGAATGCCTGTGCCCGTGAGTTCGAGGAGTTTGGTGTTCATGGCACTCTCTTCAGGGTTTAAGGGGCTTACAAGGTTTGCAAATTCCAGTGGTATGAGTGTTGTATAAGGTGTATCGAAAAATGCACGAACATGTTTCCTCTTACGAGCAACCACTAACTATCATACCCCCGCTGCTTGGTCTAGATCCTGCAAGAGCTGAACGAAGCACTAAATCTCAGCACATGCGCAGCTTCAGTCATGACTTTCATATTGTCGTGTATGTTGCCCGAAAGGTAAACCCGCGACAGCGTTCGGCGAAGGAAGCCCCCCCCCCCCCAATCTCTCACATGTGCGATTTGCGAACTATTTTGGTGTAGTGCCGTTAAGCCAAGAAGCCGTGAATCCTCTTAAGGAAGGAACACAAGCCCTGAAATGCTATGTCCTCAAAATATGTATCCCTAATTCTGAAAAGCTCAAGCACAGGACAGTACGGTAAACATGGCTAGATCAAACTGAAAGCACCTGAACCCTGAAATGTTAGTTAACCCGCTCCGTACGCAATTCAGGAACAACCTAAGCTCCTCAACCCGAAACCCTAAAGCCCTGCTGCTCTAAACCCCTAAACCTTAAAACCCTAAGCCTAGCATTTAGGGTTTAGGGTTCAGGGTTTAGGGTTTAGGGGGCGTAGGGATTTAGGGGTTTAGGGTTTAGGGTTACCTAAACCGCCAGGCCATTGGCCCCTACTGCTTACTGACCGTGGCGATGTCTCTGGTACGTTGCTTTGCTGTCTCGGCGATTCAGAGTCCATACTGGGGCCTTTTTAGGGTTTATCGTTTCTAGAGTTTTCATGGTATATGGATTTTAGGATTTTAGGGCGTAGGGATTTGGCGGTTTCTCGGGGTGTTTAGGGTTTTAGGGTTTAGGATTTAGGATTGCTGGGGTTTTGTAGAGTTGTTGAGACTGTTCGACTCTTAAGACACTGGAAAAGCATCGTGCATGCACGTAGTGGATAGATTCGCAGTAGACTACACTGGCTGTCCAAGGATCGTGTTTCCGACGGGCTAAACCCTAATGGGGCTCAGGATCTGCAGGTTGAGGACCGCATGGCAAGCAATGAGTTGCCTCTAAGCCGAGTTGCGATAAAGTCGAAACCCTAAGACGCTACACTCTCCTGAGTGAAGTTCTTATAGGACAGAGTAAAACCCTGGTGAAGTGATGACTGTTCACCTGCCTTTCAGTTGCGCTACACCGATGATAATATCGGAAGGTTTAGGATTAAAGGGTTGGGGTTCAGGGTTTGGGTACTAATGAGCAAACAGTGACAAGGTCCCGGGCATAGTGTCCTCGTGCGTGCCTTCATATTCGAATAGTCACATCCCCTCATACCTTTATGTGTCTTTACTTTTGTTCTACCCGGACAGCTTCTTCTAGTTCTTAGTGACCCTCTATGTTAATAGCTTCCGACCACAGAATTTTGGCGGGTGTCCGTGAGTCGTGAGATTTCAGCCCGCACGACAGGAAAGAAGTCGAGGCATAAGATCAACCTTCTTTTCAATCTAATAACGCCTATATGTGGGTCAGGAAATACCCATACTATTTTGGGTGTTCTTTATTATGATTATAGTATAATGGGCCCCAAAACCCTCTTCTAATAGTATAGAGATGGCTTCTATCAGGGGTATTGTAGGGGCGCTTCAAATCACAGCACGGCCTGGTATAGTGTGCATTGGAAGTTTGAGCTTCCGCCGATGGGGAATTTGGGTTACGTTTCTACTTTCATGTACCACGAAACCCTATTCTACAAATGAAGGGCCCCCCTTTTTAGGCAACTTCCTCACCAGCGACGATGTCAGCGACATGAGCATCCTTTACGGTGACAGCAATGTTCTCACGGCGGGAGTTTTGGAATTTGAATTTGGAGCGGCTGGCAAGTTCACGGTTAAGGGCAACTCAACTTGACTGTTTGGGCGTAGAGTCCTGGAGTTGCGCAATAAAGCTGCTCTCATTTACGGTCCCACGTTATCATATCTTTCTTGAGTTCCATTCAGGGCACTGGTTCGACGAAACTCCACATACTCTCGTCGCAGACATATTGTGTCAAAGCCTAGAACTCTAAATCAAACGCAAATCTGAAAAGTCTTATAGCACCCCCGTGCAGATCATTTCCAGAGCACTTCTACAGCACTCTATAAATCTCTATAACACACCTCAAGCCCCTAACACTGCACATTGTGCTAAGCCCTAGTAGTGACGCGATGATGCTTTTAAGAGGGTCCTTGGCAAAAACATGTATACCTGTAATTTTATTCCGACCTCTCTACAAGAGAGGGGTTTCGGCTCCAGGTCGTGGGCGGGTTTTGGGTCCAGGGAGTTGGGGATTTCTGGCCTGATTTCGAGGATTTGGGCTTGTGCTGCAGTGGCCACAGTAATTGAGCCTGCTAGCTTAGCAGCCTGAGTGGTTTGAAGCGTTCCCCAATATGATTATAGCATAGAGCTCCCTAAACCCCTGAAAAATTGATGCTTTTGGGATTTTAAGTCTTAGTGCACCGAGCCCCAAACGCGCACGGCCCCAAACCCTCTACCCCCTTTTCAGCTCAAAGCTAAGACATTCCCCGAGATTAGGATTCCGCGCTTTAGGGCTTGGGGGGTTCTGGCTTTGAGGTTTATTTAAGATTATGTACTAGTTACCAGGAATTGCAGGGCTGTACTCCCCTTGACTAGTAAGGGATGATAGCCAGCTACTTTGCAGGCTTGCAGTTCCGGGTAGGGTGCAGGATTTTAAGGGATCTCGGGGTTTGTCAGTATAAATGATTAGGGCCTTCAACGAGAGCCACAGTGCTCCAAACCCCATTAAGTGCCAAACAATAGTAGGGTTTGGGAGTTAGGGCTGGGCCCCACTAGCCTAAGCCTTCAAAACCTAAATTCCCATCATATACATTCTCAACACTACGTGACTTCTGGGCAGGTCCTCGTGATTGCCTCCGTTTGGCTCTTTGGCTACCGTCCCTCTAGACCAGCCAGGCTACTGATTTGGCTGTCCCTTGGTTAGGGTGTTGTGGACTTTTCTTGTTCTTTGTCATTTGAGGGGTTCAGGGTTTGAGAGCTTTGGTTTTGTAGAGGGATTTCCGTATTTGTGTGCATTTATTTCTCTTTCCCAGTCGGGTTTCCAAGGGTTTTCAAAAGTCCAGTCCGCTTCAGGCCTTTGCAGTAGGATGGTTCAGGCTTCTCAGCTCAGGATTCTGAGGCGCGTGCATGATTGGGGGAAGTGGCCTGGTCGAAAATCGGCTTAGAGGTATGTAACATGCAGGCTAATTTCGAGAATGGCCTCGGAAAATGTCGTAAACAGAAGTGGGAAATACTCTTGATGCAGCGATACCCACTGCCGCCATCATCGCGACGAGTGCTGCTACTGTTGCTGAAAAGATGCCACTGCTTTACACCTCGTCCTCGCACCACCACGACGAGTGCCACGCCGACGAGGACGGCCGCGAGTACTACTACTACGACTACTGCTGCTGCTGCTGCTGCCACGACCACTACTACCACTACTACTACTACTACTACTACTACTACTACTACTACTACTACTACTACTACTACTACTACTACTACTACTACTACTACTACTACTACTACTATACTACTACTACTACTAGTACTGCTAGTACTTGTACTTGTACTACTACTACTACTACTACTACTACTACTACTACTACTACTACAACTACAACTACTACTACTACTACTACTACTACTACTACTACTACTACTACTACTACTACTACTACTACTACTACGAAGAAGAAGAAGAAGAAGAGGTTACAGATGGACTGTTCGTTAAGACAATGCGAGAATCGAAGGTAAGCGGACAGCCACGCGACGGAGTGAAGTTTTCAGCTAGTTGTACGGTGTGCTTGGTCAACATATTCGTGCGGACGGCCATGAGTTGAAGTCATGTGTTGGATCCTTGGCGCTGAGGTTTTTAGCCGCCTGGTACACATACTGCCTGGTCCACGACCTTTATATGTCGGAGTTGTTCCTGTACGAAGACATCTGGCTCAACCACATGATCTTTGTGACCATGATCTCGTGCCTTGCTGCACTCAAGTGTACCTTGGGTACTGCCCCCACTCAGTAACGATTGGATGGTGTTCATCATACAGATATACTAAGACCTTCATAGTAGCCCTACTATGACTGTTACTGTATGGGAACCCAAAGTATACCGTTGTTCTTGTCATTTCAGAGCTTTGACGATCGACCGGCGGACATAGAGCCGAGTTTGCATTCTGGTGGGGCTTCAGGGTTTAGGGTTTTGGGGTTTAGGGTTTCTTTGTCATGTTAATACAAGGGTATGTTTGCTGGCCGCTGCGGGATCAAAATCCAATGACCCCAAAACGGCAGAACGAAGGATGCTTTGCAAGAAACTCGAGGCATTCTCCCTCCCAGTGATCTTATTCCGCACTCAGGCCCGTCGTCTTAATTCCTGCGATGCACCGTCCGTGGGGAGTTCTTCAGAGTACGCCCTACCACTTTGTGTCATGTTTGCGTAGTTTTGTTTAGGCTTAATTCAGGAGGCGTGTTGTTTTTTGGACCCGCAGGTGTCATTAAAGGCGGGTCGTTGTCAAAGGTCTTCTATTACTATTGCCAAACTCCCACATCTGCCGCGGCAAGTCAGCAACCTTTTGTGTCCGCTCTGCCTGTTTACCTGGGGCTCACAACCAAGGGGTGAATTTGAGTTCCTCTTTCTCGGGAAAGTTGTTCAGATTATGTCCGTCTTATTCTCATCAGCAGCATCATTGTCCTCGTCCCCTATGTGCGCCACAATGCTTCGCAGAGCATGATTTGCGTCGGGATGTGGCTCTAAGAGGTGATAGTTGAGCAAGTGGGATGTCATAAGATCACAAACGGTTGTGCAAGGGGTTCGGTCTGCTTTCACGCAGTGCCGTCTAATTACCCAGGACTGCATATGACATGCCGCGCGTGCGCCATAAGAGTCCATCGCACCGTGTACAGTCTGTAGTTAAATCTGATACGAGACCTCTGAACCGCGAAACCTAAACTGCGACTACACGATGTCGGTGTGAAGATGAAAGGACTCGAAAGGACACCACTTGGCGGTCGCCTGTGATCTGAGATCCTGAACTCAATCCCTCGAAGTTCAAAACATAAACAAACCTAACCTGGACCCTGGACAGTAGGAATTGAAACTTCAATGCACGCCGTAAATCAAGTTAGATAAATTCCTGCTACAAACATTTCAGGACAAAGTTATATTCACAGACATACGTATTTGCATATATACATATACAGACAGGTACGTACATACGTTCATACATACATAGCTGGCATAGCTTGTATATTCCAGGGAAATCCGGGTAGAGCCCGTATGGAACAGCGTGCAAACTTTCAATCCTATATACAGATGTTCTCACATATACATATATATATATATATATATACATTACATCCACATGTACATGACATAACCTACACCTTTCGCGTGTACATAGTATGTGTTGGCTCTCTCTCTTTCTTTCTCTTTCTCTCTCTCTCTATATATGTACCGGTAGTAGTTTACGTAAAAAGTTGTATAGAAATAGCTTACGGTGTTTGCGCAACCTTGCTGAGACTATGACGCGTACACAGCCTTTGCAAGACAAAGACTCTTATAGAGCACCGCGCTAAAGCACCCGAAACCCTCCTACAACCTAGATCCCTCACGCCCCGAAGCCCTGACAACCTAAACCCTGAAACCCTACAGGCCCTACAGACTCTAATGCCCAATGCCCAAAGCCTCCGAAGACCCTTAATAGTCTTTATAGACACCCTTTTCATGATGCTTATTGCCAACCTTAGAGTAACACTGAAAGGAAGTTGAAAGGAACCCTAAAACCCCACGAACACTCGACACAAAAACCTAAGCGCGGAGAACCTTCAACCCCAAACCTTCATCCCTTATAGCAGAAACCCCTAACCCTAGAACCCGCAAAAACCCAACCATGAAACCCTCAGAGCCCTTAGACAGACACAGCACCACCACCCCCCGAAAGCATCCTTAGTCCGAGGATGGCGCTCTGTCTCCCGGTGGGCATAATTTGGCGCCACGGCGGGCGTTTGCACAGGTCTCTCCATGGGGGTCCCTGGAGGAACCCTTAGGATCCTTCGAGTTCAAGTTCACGGTGTCGGGTTTTTGCAGGATTAGAAGCTTTCTATATTCTATGCCAGAACAAGTTTTCCATACAGGCTTTGGGCCTGTTTTCGTAGGGGTTTGTGCGCGTTTTAGAAAGATTCTGTAAAGCCTCTGAGCATGTTGAGGGATTTCGGAGTCTATAAGGTTGCTTCTATAAGGACTCCAGAACAGTTCATGGGCAGTTTGGGGGGGCTTAAGGGTTTTGGGGGATAGGGAGGGGTTTAAGGCGTTAGGGTTGGTGAACTTGAGGTTTGAGGGGTTGGAGTCAAGGGCTTCGGCTTCAAGGGTATAGGTTTAGGCCCAAGGCAAGATCTACAAACCAGTTTACGTTCTTTGGAGCCCCTTAAGATGAAGAGAGGGTTTGACAAAGAGCCCTGGTGTACGATTCGGACTGAGGAACGCTGCTGCTGCGGGTTGGGATGTTTAGACCTCATTTAAGGGTTGGTATAATAAACCTTAGCGCCATTGTCTCTGGCAGCAACTCATCGAGCTCGGCATTACATAGCATGATCTGAGCGCACTGCAGCACCCGCTACCAAGATTACAGTCTCTGGGACTCGGTATGATTGTTTTCCAGAACACGATTATCATCAGCGTGCTACTTCATACCTCCAGGGCCATCACCTTCTTAAGTATCACCCTGATCTTATGATCCATCACCATAGCCGTCAGTATGTTCGTGGTCATCATCGCAGAGCTGCCGAGCATCATGCCTATAGCTTCTCCTGCACCATCCCGATCACCGTCCCCGTCGTGTTTTACTCGCCCCCAAAACGGATCCATTAGGAGCTTACCTTTTTAGGGCTGCAGCAGTAGCCGTCACCCTGGATATCAGCACCTGAACACCTAACCTCTGAGACCTCAGCCGCACGAGCCCCCAAACCCTACTCGCTAAGAGCCCCACTTCGACTCTAAAGCGCTAAATCCAAAGTGCAAGTACCTGAAGCCCTAAACCCTTTCAGGTCCATGACTCTGGCATGAGACCCTAGTGGATCCCTTATAACATCCTTGAGAGTATTTGGTTTTAGGATTTATAGGGCTCAGGGTTTCGAGACCGAGGACCATGACCGTTGCACATACCTGCTTGTTCCTAGCGCTGGAGAGTGCGAACGGCTGCTTGGATCGCATAGAAACAACAGCCTGTCCATCAAGGATTTAAGGGTTGAGGGTGTGGGTTCTATCCGGATTCTATAACAGAAGTGTAGGATTTTCAGGACTTCGGGCTAGGGTGTTGGGGCTTTGGAGGATTTGAGAGGGTTGAGAATTCTAGCTGAGACCCCGAGACCATAAACCCCAACTGCGGTACCCTGACGAATATCAGCCACCAAAGCACGGAACGGCCAGCGCTCTTTAATTCAGACTTCTTAACGAACCCCGTCCTTGAGATTTAAGCGCCTGGGCGAGTCCATCCCTACACCCTACCTTAAGCCGGGATAACCTACCTTTTTAGGGTTCCTTACTATGATTTCCTTATATAAGTCCTTGAAAAGGTAGGTAATTCCGGCTTAAGGTAAACCGTGAGGGTTAGGCAATTACAATGGACCGCAGCCAGCTCTGGGGCTGCATCGTTCGCAGCAACGCACCCTCAAGCGCACATTATTGTATAGGGATTTAATACCTGGACCCCAAAAGTATGTAGAATAATAGCCTTTTATGGGTATTGGGCCATTATTTTACCTACTTTGGGGGGTTTAGGTAACGTCGACCAAGAGCCCACAATGATCACTGTTTCTGTAGTTCCTAACATGGAAACCTTCCATTGAAGCGGAGACGGCTGCTTGCTTTGGGTTCTGCAAGGCTTGGTCCGTGCTGGGCTTACCGGCACCGGACTGATTCGGTATCCGATTGTTTGATAGTACGCTTGTCGAGTTTTCGCGAATCGCAGCCTTCGTGTTGACGGCAGCTTCTTCAACGCTTTTTCTACGTCCTGTCTAAACTTCAATCCCCAAAGGCTCTTTGACTCGGTCAGGACCTTTATTGAAGATCCCTAAAGGAAGCTTGAAGCACCTCCTTTCCAATGGACAGAGGCTGGGAACAAGGACAGCCGTCGGCTGGAATGCAGGCTCGTCGAGTGCTGGGAGTGTTTATCCTTCTGTCAAGGGCACTCGAATAATAGTGTTCGAGTTTTCTGGCTTCTATGTACACCATGCGCAAGCCTATACGCTCAACCGTACGCCCTAAACACTAAGAAGCCGCTCGGGCTTGCTGTCGTAGGAGATCTCGAAACTAGTTGGATCCTGTAAATGGCCGGCTCCCTGTTTGGATATCCGAAATAGGACGTCACCCCTACAATAACTAGTATAGGGGTCTCAATAATCACCTATACTATCTTGGGGGTTCCTTATTGAAACTCTCGTATCATGGTCCCCCAAACACTACTTTAATTATTAAGGCCCCTATATGTGGGCCCCGAAACCCCACTTTACTTATTAAGGCCCCTATACTACTCGAAGTAGGACGTCACTCTTTCTTTAATGTAACCCCTAAACTCGGCAGCTGCATGGTGGTTTCCGAAAACTAGGGGGTTATATACCTTACTTTGGGGTCCTTGTAAGGATCCTGCTATTTAAGGTGCCATTTTTAGGGTCCCCTATTGTCGGAAACTCCCGCATGGAGCTTCGGGAGCCGGGCCGCCACTGAAGCTTAAGGCGTTTGGGCGCTGAGAGGGTTTAGGTCTTAGGGCTCAGAGGGTGTGGGCTCTATAGGGTTTGGGGTTCGGGTTTAGAGTTTAGGGTTTTTGGCTTTTAGGGTGTAGTATGGAAGCCTGAAAAGGTACGATAGTGTTCTGTAGGTTTCCTTATTATGACTATCAACAATAACACCCCCAAACCCCTGTTCGAAATATTCAGGCCCCCACATCTAGGTTGCTTGCATGCAGTGTTTAGCAGTGACTTGGATGGCAGCATCTACCCGAAAACACCGTTGATTTTTCCAAGCACCCAGAAACACCAGAGTGCAACATGACCGGTACCCCAAATGGTGCCATATTGTCCTCAATGGTGTGTTTTGCTGAACCAGAAAACTCCGAAATCCAATCAAGCTGATGGTGCAGGTCTTCATTGTGGCCGTCCTCGCGATTTCGACAAAGCACAGCAGGTCTCTCCGCATTGAACTTAAGACTTCTGCACCGCTTCGGCGACGAATCACATCTAGTAACAGGTACCTACCCTCTGGCTCCATAGTAGTTCCTTATAGGGTTCTAAAAAATATGAACCCTCAGCAGGAACTACTATGGGGCCTGTGGATATAGCACTCCAATAAACCCCCGTTCGAATCGAATTAATACCCCCCCCCCCCCCCCCAAACCCTAAACCCCTAAACCCTAAAACCCTAAGCCCTAAACCCCTAAACCCCTAAGCCCCTAGACCCCTAAACCCTAAATTACGAGAACTTGATCCTACGGGTATCCCGGATCTGAAGTGCCCAAGGCCCTCCCGAAAGCAGAATCCCAGCACAAATCTCGACCCTTCTTATCCGCTGGTTTTAGGGTTTAGGGTTTAGGGAGTTTGGGGTTTAGGGGAGCAATATCCCGTTTTTGTGGTCATGTCCCTTCTCTACAAGTATTGAGTCATAAGTAGCAGATGTGATTACCATACAGGTCTATTCTCACTGCTTCCCTGTTGCTGGCATCACCAACATTTAGCCTAACGAGGGCGGGGCTCAGGGCTTAGAGAAGTATGCGTGGTTTCTAATCCATGGGGATGTGCCCAGTGAACCAAAAATCCTTTAAGCCCTACAGTGTGTAGGCCCCGTGTAGGCCTAGTTATGTGAGGCTTGCGGATTTCCTTCAGTTGTTTGAAGGGTCAGTGGGCTTCGTCTGGGTAGGGACGCTTACAACTCCTAGCCCAAAACCCTACGTTTCATAAACCATACCCACTTACTGTGTCCAATGCCTTGACCCTTGAAGTCAGCACGCAGCCTCGAATTCTTTGTCCGAGGTTTCTCCTGAACATCACAAACCGGAAGGCACGTCAAGGCTTTAAGGTTTCTGTTATATTTAGGGCTGAGGGTTTGGACTGCAGACGCTTCGGAGCTGACAGTGTGGCATGATTATAGTTAGCTGAGGGGTTGTGTGGCCAGAAACTGCAGGTCACAATTGCATTCAGTGCTGTACTTGCTTGGATGACTTACCTTGCAAGTGAATCCCTGGCAGACCCATACAACTACTCTGCAATGTACCCCCAGAGCCTGTTTTCATCACGAAGGCCCCATACCAAATGCTATCAGCTCCCATAAACCCCCTATGAACGCCATCTGCACCGATGGAAAGCCAGCAAAAGAAAATATAGGAACCCTGAATGAGGTCTGCTGATGACCTTGTTTGATAAGTTCCGCTTTACTCTTCAATCTCATGTTCCAGATGTTTTGTTTGTGAGTGTCCCTCGTCGGCATTGTGATGCAGCACAGCTTCTAGCGCCTTCTGGGGCGTTGGTGACTCTAGTGACCAAAGCAAAAGAATCCGGATGATTGGCTATTGCGGGCATATGAGGCTGCCACAGCAACAATGGAGAAGTACGACGATGGGAATGCCAGGGTTCGTGCTGCGGCAGAGCGCCTTGCAAACCTGATGTCTTGGCCGAGGACGCCCTTAGGCAGGCCAAGGTCATGATGGAAATCATGATCTCACTTCAGCTTGCACGATCGCAGAAGGGCGGTCCAGAGCAGCAAGCGGGCAAAATCAACACACGTATGATGCAAGACACGATCTTCTTGGGCAGCAACCCCTTCGATGTTCAAGAGGAAGACATTCACAAGAGCTTGTGGCAGTCAAGGTGCAAGTGCTGCAAGTGAGTCTCGCAAGATCGCGGCTGCGCAGACACAGCCAGAAAGCTTTGATACTTGCTTTTCTGTTTGTCGTAACCCCCCCCCCCCCCCCTTGTTCCGCCCTCCCTTGGCAGGCAGCCTCAGGCTTAGAAGTCAGGGTTCAAAGGTGCAGGGGCAGGGTTAGAGGTTTAGGGTTCCAGAAAGTTGAAACATGGATTATGGCTTTTTGGTGCGGCAGGTCCTCGAACTTCACTCATTTCACAATAAGTGCACGAGGAGCATGAGTTGCACTTTGCTGGCTTCTACTCTAGAGAGTCTACAGGGACATTTCTCTAAATTAGGGTCCCACTCTAGATTCACAAAGTAGTACGGCAAAGTCATGATAAAGGACCCCACTTCAGAAAAGTACCCACATCCCATGAGGCTCAGGATCCCCGACCCAATCGATGAGGGCTAGCGGTGTGGCGTTGAGGGTTGAAGGTTCAAGGGTAGGTTCAGGGTGTATGGTTGGGATTCGATTTGTGGGTCCAGGAGGTTTCTTGTGGGGTTGAGTTTCCAGGGTACCTCGCTCCGGCTCCGTCACCAAGAAGCATCCGGGGCGGTTGAAGTTTTCAGGTACGTTGCAAAATCTCGCCGCAGTGCACTCTGCAGGTACTTGGAGCCCGTTGTTGGAGCGTGTAAGGCGACTATACTTCCATAATTGGACTTATTAGGTCCTTATTATGGGCATCAAGGCCCCCTACCCTCGACCCCCCTACCCCCGTTATATGATAAATGCCACTGAACAGAACCGTGCCCTGAAAGCCACAGGTAGGGAAATGTTGAACCCCTACACACTTAAACACCCAAACTATGAGGACTCTAAGCTCTAAAGCCTAAGCCCCTAGGCCCAACAACACAAAACCCCAAAACCCTACAGCAATACGTCCTTCATACAGCTCTCGTAGGAACCCCTCAAAAGAACCCCGCGAAACGGTTTGGGGTTGAAAGGTACTTAAAGGATCATGGGACTTAGTAAGTAAGGTTATAAGTACCTTAATTGGGGTTATACGTATAGTTACCCTAATTATAACCCTAGTTACTAAGTCCCATGATCCTTTAAGTAAGGTTCAAACATCAAGTTGGCTTGGCAGGCGGAGGCCGAGTTCAAGTTGAAGATCGCCGAGCTTGCGGCCAGTAAGAACGAGGTGACGCTACTTTATATGGGAGTTTCCGAAAATAGGGGACCCTAATATAGTACCCCAAATAGTAGGATCCTTCTTATAAGGACCCCACAATAAGGTACCCCTAATTTTCAGAAACTCCCATATAGGGGCCTACATAAAGACTTCAAGCTAATTGATAGGCCTAAATCAACACTGTACTTATTAAAACTCGATAGGGCCTAGAATACTTTAGTTAACTACCCATACTACTTTGGGGGCTTCTTATCATACTTCTTCAACTTTTCGGGCCCCTGTTTTAGCACACTCTGCGCTAAGGTCACCTTGACATGAGCTTTGGTGGCTTTGAACAGTTTGGGGAGGTCTTTAGGTTGAGGCCGGTGGCTGCTATGAGCCGTTGCTCGGGCGTTGTGAATTCTCTGTATGGTATAAGACAAAAAAGTTACAAACCCAGTAGCCTCAGTCCTTGAGAGTAATGTATAGGGAATCCCAGCACTATTCGGCCTTAGTCCGGTTTCCAACTTTATGGGGTTTTCTGTAGGGTCTTCAGCGGTTATCTTCGGGAGTTTAGACTGCTCAACTTACTGAGTCCTGTCACCTGGAAAGCCTCGAAACCCTTCCAAACAGAATTTCCCGGGTCAACGGTTTTTTGGTGAGGCTTGAAGGGCCTTTATAGGGAGATAGGGTGGCTCTACGGTGCGCGATTTGCGACGTTTGTGAATCCGAGATTACCTACTCCGGCACCAACCGGACAGCAGCTAAAACCCGCCAGACTTCGATCGCTCGTTCTGTAAAGCCTGACACCCTGAACCCCGGACCTTCAACTGCTTGAGGCTCTACAAATACAAGTTCCCTCAGCTAGCCCCATAACTTCACCCCCTTAACCCTGGAGACTGTCCATGCACAAACGCAGGCCCCACGGCAGCCCTTTCAGTACCCCTGACCAGGCCCCCGACCCTTAAGAGCTTAACCCTCAAACGCCTACGCCCCAAAATCTTAAAATCCCGTAGGGTCTACACCCTAATCCCGGCAGCCCCTCAAAAGCGTTAACGATGACCTACCGAGGCCCTCTGCCGAACGTCGAAGCCCCCCCGAGCAGTATCACACCCGTCTAAACGAATATTGAGGCCTGAACCCTTACCAATGCCTTTCCTAAAGGTTCCTGATCGAAGTATTGCCGGAGTATAGTAAAGTATTCCAAAACCCGAGTACGACCGGTATCAGACCCTGCAAGACCCGAGACAAGGATCACCCCGAACCAAAGATTCCCGAAAAGCTGGAGAGCTCTCTGCAGGCAACAGCAGCTGAGGCCTTGGAGGTGGCCCAGACTCAGGCGACAGCTTTCCCGGGGTTTAGGGTTTAGCATGGGCTCAGGTCTTCAGGGGGTTAAGGCTTTCTTGCAAACATTGCATTTGGGGCTTTAGGGTTTGTTTAGGGCGGTTCAGGCTGTAGAGGATATTACATGGCTTTTAAAAAAGGCTGATTGAAACCCCAAGTAAGATTTCTAAGGTCTTCGGGCTCTGGGTCTTGCAAGGGCTCTATTCATGGTTTTACATGGTTGCTATCAGGGCTCTCTGTGTGTGCCTGTGTTTGTGATTTGGGTTTTGAGGTCTAGCTGAAATTGGCAACTATCGCGGGCAAACCCGCCCTGACCCAACCATACCGCTTTCCTCGACACTTATAAATTTTACACCCCAGCTCCCAATCCTTACAAACTTGAGCCTTATCCCCAAAGTAACATAGCAGCCCCCCAGAACACTCAACCACGAGCCCCCAAGCGCGGAATTTCCGAACACACCCTACGCCTCCCTGTAATGATACTGTAATCACAGAACAAGAAGCGTGCATCCCTTTAAATTTGAAGCCCAAAAGCCCCTAGTCTCAATCAACTACCCTAAACCCTGACGCTGAATGTCGAGCAAAAGCTGAAGATTCGAACTTTATACAGGCCCTCATAGAGTGACGCCCCATGAGAGGGGCCTATACCCCAGTCGTTTGCCTCAACCCTCCCCTTCTACTCTAACCTACCGCGAATCTCTCGCTAGGCCGAGCGCGCCGCTGCCGCCGAGGTGTCCTTAATGAGTCTTTACTTACCGTTGGTGAGTAGGGAATGGAAGAATGGTAGTAATAGTAGTTATAATTGTACTCCATTCTTCCATTCCCTACTAACCAAAGGTGAGTCTTTAGCGCGAGGGAGCCTCTTGCGAGGTGTTTTCGGTTCAGGCTTAAGTTAAGCTCTCACCTGGACCCTAAAGAACCCTTCTTTTTAGGGTTCCTTATTATGGTTTCTTTTTTATGAGTCCTTAAAAAAATAGGCGATTTGGTGTTAAGGTTGGAGTTGGAACTTAGGGTTTCGGGTTTTGAGGGCTTTGGGCTTTCGTTCTCAGGATTTCGGGCTCAGGGTATACTTGTTTTTGGGTTTGGGGTTCAAGGGTTTGTAGCTGAAGGTTTGAAGTCGAAGGCTTGAGGGTCTGAGGGAGTAAGGGTGTCTCTTGTAGCATTCTTTGCACTCGCGACTCTGAGATTTGAAGCGAGGGTTTCTGAATTCTGGTCTTCTGTTTGTTTGTTTGGGCTTCCGGTGGACCCCAGGGCTTTTGAGTTGAAGCTATCTTTCAGGTCCTTTTGGGGGGCCCTGGTTGGATTATAGATTTTAGGATTTCGAGCGCTGTTTGCGGTAGCAATTTGGATTTCGCCTAAGCGCGAAGATCTAGACTGCGGCAAAACTCTTGTCGCGTAGCACGTGGCCTGAGTGCTCTTGCCAAACTTTGTCATTGCCACTGGGAGGCCTAGCCCCCTAGGCCCTACAGGCTGCTACTTAAGGATCATGGGACTTAGTAACTAGGGTTATAACTAGGGTAGCTATACTTATAACCCCAATTAAGGTACTTATAACCTTACTTACTAAGTCCCATGATCCTCCAAGTAACCCCTAACTCCCTTAGCTTCTGCCGAAGGCGGAGACTCGCGCGGCCAAGGCAGAGAACGAGGCTCCACGCGGGGGGTTTTAGGGGGTGTTGTGGTTTGAAAGGGAGGTTAAACACACCATTTGAGGTATATGGGGTTTAGCGCCCGGGATTCTTCTGTCGGTTCTGGCAGGGTGGTGTGTGATGACGTGATGATGCTGATGATGATGGCCTCTTGAAGGCTTGGCGAGCTCGGGGAATGGTCTCGGCCACAGCCAGACACAACCGTGCAGATCGTGCAGCATACACGCCCCTCGCACAGATCCCCAAAAAGAAAACTTGGCCGCCGTGCTCAATAAACTGCGCCCGAGCAGCAGAGCGAAGATGACCACGAGAATGGTGAACATGGTCGCAGGAGACCAGAGCGTGGGGAATCTCCCGCAGGCACAATCAAGAAAACCCTCCGCCTTCGCAGAACCAACGAGCTGGGTCAGAAGTGCAGCAGCGCGGACGGAGATCACATCGATGCTTCGGCTATGCTCAGCCTCACTAAACAGCCAGGCATTGACAGCATCATCGAGGCCGTGGTTACACAATATAGGAACCTAAATAGTTAACTACACTATACATTGTTTGTTTTTTTTGTGGGGGGGGTCCTTATTATACTTACAGTATAATATACCTTTTAATTGTTAAGGCCCCTATATTAGGGAGACTAGCATGGGGCACACCGGCCAAAAACGAAGCCCCGGTTTTCTAGGGTTTATAGGATCTAAGGGAAGCACTCCCAGATTCTGATGATCGAAACTTCGAGCTGCAGAGTTCCTGATTCCAAGCCAGCCGTGCCGGCAAAAGGCCATCAACACAACTTCGGTCAGACCAAAGCGCTTACCCCGGACAACTTCGGGGCAAACGCGGTAAACACGCCTAAATGTTTTGGGTTGTGAGGCAGGCCTAGCGCTTCACGACCTGGGATGATTGAAAGGCAGTTCTTTCTTCTCTAGCTTTAACATAGTGCGTAGCATTTCTCACTTCAGGGTGTGTTGGCTGGTAAGGTACGACTTTGCAGACATTTTTGACTTCCATGCCTTCAAGCCATTACACCCTCCGTGGCACCAGAGGTATGTGCAGCACTTGCAACTGCCGTCGGATTCCTGCTTTGCGCCGTGAGCCCCGAAGATACTAAAACCCTTGAAGCCCCAAGTCCGCAATGTGGTGACACTGTAGTGGTCTGAATAGTATTCGCCAGTAGTTACTAGCAGTATTCCCGTGAATCAAAAGCCCCATATCCTTATAGTACAGTATCCCTAAAACCTCAAGCTACATAATGCAGGCACCTCTTCTAAACACCCTAGCAGCGTTTAGATTAGAACCTTCAGAGACCTTGTGCAAAGCCGTCTTATGACGCCGGAAAAGGCCCTCGAATCCTGTTGAGCCCCTGACAGAAAAGGTGTGCACGTTGTATACTGGGCTTTGGAGTACCATACTTTAAGACTTTTTTCTGGGACCTGTTACTTATTAAAGGGAACCGCTATGAAATAGACGTCTATACTTTTTTCTTCCCTGTTACTTCTAAGCCCAATATAAAATCCGGATTAAGCTGCATAAACTGTTCATTAGAGCCGCACAAACTCCCGGATCCTCATCCTCCGACGCACTCCCGATACGGCAGCTTGCGACACAGGCTCACGAAGCCACGGTTCAGGCGAAATTGGCTGATCAGGCCTTTCAGCCTGAACTTAGGAACGAGTTGCACCGGGCTTCGTGTTTTCTGCGAGGTTACTAAAAATTGAACCCTCTGAAAATGGAGACTCTGTGCACGTCGGAGGTCTAGGGCCGGCAAGAGGCGGCACGGCGCGATCCTACAATCTACACGAGGTAGTGTTTTTGATGGCAGTGTTGGTTTAGGCAGTTGCTTCCCTCGCCGCCCTTTTTCTTCCTTTTGGATTTACGTCGTAGCCTCATTTCCCACGCGCTGCTTCTGACCGATTTGGGCCAGGGAACCCAGAAATTCTAGGATCCCTAAACCCCAAATTCTAAACTGCATCGCCAGACGTAGATGAGCACGAAGCTCTGATACTAAACTCAACCTGCAGAGCCCAGTACTTGGCAGTTTCCTTGTCCGGGTTTAGGGATTAGGGTTGGGCTTAGGGTCTGGGGTTTCGATTCTTTGGACGGTGTTCTGACCAACTGGGCTGGCATTGCTATCGCTGCTACAACGACGAACACGCTTGTTGCCACTACTTCCTAGCACGGCGACGGCTACTGTTACTGGTAGTGCTACTACGTCTCGTAGCTTCCTTTGTTATTGTTGTACGTCAGGCGTCTGTTGAAATCCTGTCGATTGACCCTAGTGTAGGGGTCGGGATGAGCCACACAACTATTTTGTTCGGCTTCCTGAATATTATAATGTACTAGAACAGAGCCCCGAAGCCTGTTCCAATTATGACGGCTCCGATATAGTAGAAACTTTAAGAAACCCTTTACAGGAACCCGTGCTAAAGGAGGCCTTCAACGGAACACCTACGGGTTCCGTCAAAAGGGTTGCCCTCTTGGATTCAATTGTGTGTCTAGCAAGTTTTTAAAGCAACGGTGCTCATTTTGTTTAATGGTTTGGATGTTTAAGATTTTCAGTGCATGGCAGCCTCTTAAAAAGGCGATGGCCCATGGCTAGGAATCGCTAGCAGCAAGTCTGGAAATAAAGGAAGCGACAGAATGCAGGCCTGGTTAAGACTGACTGCATCAATGTCAGGCGAAGTTGGCTGCAGAGTGCCGTGCCCAGCTGGTCGAGTCAATGCGAGGCCCGGCGAGCTGGTTGAGGGTCGTGGAGGAAAGTCATGGAGGAGTTTAGGGGCATGCGTGTGACCTTCGAACATCACAGAGGAAAGAAAGGCTGATGATGAAGCGCCTTGCATGAAGAGGAGCGGCGTTGCTGGCTTTGAGTCTACGGTTTTGAGCTTCGGGGGTACATGTTCGAATTCTCGACATCGTGCACAGATTCTCCGAACACTAAGAGTCACCAAGAGTTCGGGCTCCAGAGATATATAGGAGTATCCGAGAATGGGGGACCCTAATATACTACCCTAAATCGTAGGATCCTGATTATAAGGATCCCCAAATAAGGTACCCCTAATTCGCGGAAACTCCCGTATACCCCAATTGCCGACACCTCCTAAACTTTAAGGCTTTGCTTTGGTACTCAGCCCTAAAATAGAAATGCATTCAGCAACGAAAAGCTTCTCTAAACCCGACACTTGTTGAACAGCGGACCTATCAGCGAACTCTGGGGCTTCATACAGGTCCGAGAGTGCGGGCTCTAGGGTCAGAGTGCTAAGCTCCGGGACGCTGAACCCTGAACCCTAAGCCCTTATATCACGAGCCAGGGGCACTCCAGAATCTCCTGGGCATGCTGTGCGATGCCGTCTTCGAGATCGATGGGGCACCTCGGAGCGTTGCAGCTTTCGGTTCGCGGTGTAAGGCACTTTTTTCCCCTTGGCTCTGAGGCTCTGTTGGCTGAATGTAATTGGGGCTGTCAGCATGTCCAATCATGCGCCAGTGCCAGGGTTCCAGCATTGTCATTGCAACGTGTAAGATATGGAGTCGCCTGGCATGGCATGGATGTCATGGGTTGGCTTGGTATGGAATGGGATGATATGATTGGGTATGGTAAGACATGGTATGGTATGGAATGCAATGGCACAAGCATGCTATCATATAGGTGGTCCACGCCATGCTATGCTATGCGTTGTTGGAACTACGATCGAGAAGCCATAAACCCCAAACAACCCTAAAACATCCCTGAAACCTGAAACCCTAAACCCTAAAGTCTAAAACCCTAAAATACCCTTGTAGTAACCTTATGGGCTCCTTTAAAAGAACCCCTATAGACTCCTTTAAAGGAGCCCTAAATCCTAAAAGCCCTACACCAAGGCCCAGAGATCTTTAAACCTCGACTCCTCCTTCCCCAAGGATCTGCGACTGTTGGAACCAGGAAAGCTGGGCTCCTCGCCTGCTAAAAGGTTTAGGAAATTCCGGTTCAGGGTTTAGGGTTTAGGGTTCAGGGTTTAGGGTTCAGGGTTTAGGGTTCAGGGGTTAGGGTTTAGGGGTTAGGGGTTAGGGTTGTTTGGGTGTTACTTTCCTGGGCTATACTACATTATTCTACACTATTAACTATGTATAAAAATTGTTTACTGTGCAATGCGACTTTTTCTACACTCTACTAGGCTGCCCGACAGATAAAAAAGGTTGCAGAACTTTGCTACTTATCGTCTCTACACTGCACTACACGGGCCGCAGATTAATGCGAAGTAAAGTGTCTTTTTGAGTTTAAGTTTATTTAGGGTTTCTGGTTGGGATTCGGGATTTTGGCTTTGGGTCCGGGGTAGTTTCGAGTTTAGGCTGGTTTAACTTATGGCTTACAGTTTAGGGTTGTTTTGAGCTGGGGGTTAGGGGCTACGCTTGCAGATTTGGCAAGATGGGGATGGGGCTGCAGGAGTTCATATTTCAGAGTCTAGGATTTAGTGTTTCAGATATATGTAGCTTCATCGCTGGGAACACAGTATATATTATAGTAGGTTACAGCATCTGGGCCAGGAGAAGTTTCCCTAGAGCCTCCAAGGGAGCAGCCACCCAACTAAATCGGCAAGCGGGGTCCCATGACAAACCTTTCGGGGCGAAAGCTTTGAGCTTTAGGTTTATGGTTTCTGCCTTGGGGTTGAAGTTGTGTTTTTTGAAGCTTAAACCCTAAACCCTAAACCCTTGCGTTTAGGGCTTGTGTTGACCCCAAGACCCCAAGACTGCCCGAGACCATTCTTGTAGCAGGTATGGTCCTCTTCCATTCTGACAAGAATGACTTGCAGGGCAGAGCTTTTCAGGACAGCACTCATAGACATATGTGTGTGTGTATATATATATATTTATTGTAGTCATTATTAGTAGTAATTATTGTTCTTTAATTATCATTATTACGTTTTTTTGTAGACTTATTATCATACTGTTGCATTTTATTTTTTTCTTATTACCATTACACTACTATTGTTATGGTTACGGGGCTGTGAGCATCGAGGCCGTTTCTTACTTAGAGTCTCAGCGGCATCGAACACCTTCGAACATGCTCAAACCCTAAACCCCTAAACCCCCAAACCCCCAAACCCTAGACCCGAACACCCTCTTAACGACAACAGTTCTGGCCACGGGGGTGAGGCTTTGAAGGAGCTTTGGAGACTACATGGGGTTGGAGTATGGAGCTTCGTCAAAGTAGGGGTGCCGTGTTAGAGCCCCTTGTATTCTTGTAGTAAGGGTCTTTCTGGGGTAGGCTCAGCGGCATCGAACACCTTCGAACATGCTTAAACCCTAAACCCCTAAACCTCTAAACCCTAAACCCTAGACCCTAGACAGACCCTTAAACCCTAAACTCCAAAACCCCTAAACCCCTAAACCTGCAAACCCTAGACCCTAGATAGAACAGAACACCCTCTTGAAGACTACAGTTCTGGCCACGGGGGGGAGGCTTCGAAGGAGCTTTGGAGACTACATACCCAGACCTTCCAAAATCCCTCAATTAAGGAATATACCTTAATTCATATTTGGGATCCTATTATAATTTAAGGTATATTCCTTAATTAAGGGATTTTGGAAGGTCTGGGTAGGGTTGGAGTATGGGGCTTCGTCAAAGTAGGGGTGACGTGTTAGAGCGCCTTGTATTCTTGTAGTACGGGTCTTTCTGGGGGTGGGACTATTGAGATCCGAGTCCTTTATACGGGGTGATATCAGATACAAAGTTTAGGGTTTAGACGACCTGGTTAAGGTTCAGTGGATTGAGAAAGTCTAGCAGAAGCTAAAGGTCCAGACTGGTATTAGGTTGAACACCAGGGCTGCTTATGATGTCTATTTAGTCTGTACGTAAATGGACGTGGGGTTTGGCTTGGGGTTTCAAATTTGGGATTCATGGTTGAGGGTTTAAGGGTTTAGGGTCAAGCCTCGAGGTCAAGGTGCTGAAAAGGGAAAACCGCGATGGGCTGTTAGACTGCGGTTGAAAAGCTTGCACAAGCCCATGCATGGGACTTGGAAGGTCTCCAAAACCCCAATTACTGTAGCGGCCGAATTCATTACAAATTTTGTTTTGGTGGTTCCTTATCCTGATCATTATGGTATAACATACCCCAAAACCCTATTCGAATTCAGTTATTAAGGCCCCCATATTCGGTCTTGTGTGAGTTGGGAGGACCTTCTGGTGGAGGAAGATGTGGTCCGCTTCAAGCAGTACATGCGAAGCGAGGGAGTCGCTGGTCATGTAATTAGGATTGAGAGCTTAGGATTTAGGATTGAGGGTTTCGGGTTCAGGATTGAGGGTTTAGGGTTTAGGATTGCGGGTTTAGGGTTTAGGATTGAAGGTTTAGGGCTTAGTGACTCAGCCCTAAACCCTCAATCCTACACCCTAGACTTTAGTGTTGAGGGTTCAGGGTATTGTAGAAGCCTGCATACACACTAACACTTTCCACAGGCTTCTTTGTGATTGTTGTCGACTGTTATGCCCCCAGAAGTCCGACAGGCTTGTTCGTTTTGTAGTAAGGCCCCTATCTTATGGTTAGCTGAATGGTCAGATAGGTAACTTTAAGCTCTTTGAGTTTCAGTATGGTTTAGTCTAACCTTTACAGGAACACGGCTTGGTTGTGCCCCGGAGCTCAGCAACCAGGATTAGCGCTTTGCGGGCCGCAGACTTTAGCAAAGCTATGTAACCGCTTGAAACCGTCACAGATAAAGCCATTGCACAGCCCTACACCCCTCCAGCCCCCAAACCCTAACCCTTAACCCCTAAACCCTCTAACCGAAAGCCGGAGCTGCTGCACCTGAAGCGAGGTCAGCAAGCATCCACTGCAGGCCGCATGGCTTTTATCAGGTACCTCTAGTCTCCATTGTAGTCCCCCTTTTTTGGTTAACCAATTTTATGGTTAGGATCCTATAGTATATATAGATTTTGGTTAACCAAAAACATGGAATTACAATGGAGACTATAGGTATTCTGAAAAGTCAATCGCAGCCTGGAAGCCAAAAACACATAAAGGGCTCCTTTGGCAATGTCTCAGGGCCCCACCTAAAATCGAAGACACTAAACTCCTAAAACTGGAATTTCTACACTGGTTTTCGTTGTGCAATCCCCTGCCTAAGGCCTCTGCTTAACGCTTCAGGGCTTCGGATTCCAAACCGTGTTCGGTACTCGGAACCCTGACTTGCTGGCTTGTGCTGTAGAGTCCCAAGGTAGGGTGAATGTTCATAGCAGGATGCGGCTCAGCATGTTCGCCTTGTAGCGGAGGATGTTAAGGGTTGCAGGCATTTCGATGACCAGTATTCCCGTTCAGAGTTTCAGGTTTAGGGGAAAGGGGTGTTCATGGCTCGTTTAGAAGAGCGCTTTCTTCAAGGGACATAAGATTCGTGGTCTACCTTTGGGGGATTTACTGCTTTTTGGAAGCTCGTAAAATCGGGAGCACTGCAAGGCCCTTTCAACTCTTTCATGTGCCCTCTCTCTATTCGGGGGCTGGTGCCCGGCCAGTCGCAACGTTTCCTTCAAAGTGTCGCGCACGTGCGTTAATTTTGTATAAGCATCTCTTCACAACAAGCATGTCCGCATGGTGCTTCGGGAAGACTCGCGTGGTCTGCAGCATACCTGCGTTTTTTTGGCATAGTTTGGTGTGGAAACTCATGGTAAGTCAAAGATCCCGGCCCTTGGAGGACTTTTCTTGCTGCTCCGATTTGGGCTTAGGCTTGCGTCTGAGGTTACAGGGGAGGGCGAACCGATGGGACTCTAATGGATGCGGGGTCTTAATGTAAGTACGAAAGCAGATCGGACTGCCTATAACTGCCCATTTTCCTCTCGGGATTCGTTGATACTAGTAGCTGGAGCTGAAGTATAAAGCGGTACTTTGCAAAACAAGCCCTTGGCTCTTTTTTGACCCCTGGTAGTCCGACAGGGTTCGCCCCTAGGTAGTAGGGTTGACGAGCGCGTGGTAGTGGGCATGATACCTAGTCTATTCCATGGTCCGAGGTTTAAAGTAAAAGCCAGAAAGTTGGAATATGATTATCCTAACCCTTCTATGGTAGATTATAGGGTATCCTACCATGAAACCATATTCCAACTTTCTGGAGTTTCCTATACAGCTTTGGGTTTGGGGTTCTGCGGTAAGCCAGAGCTGCAGGTGACGTTTGTCGGCTCATACTCCACCAAAATCTCTGCCGTGATCTACTTGACCGAGATTGAAGCTCGAAGCATTGAAGCTGTCCTGGGGAGCAGGGTTTGGGGACCTGCAAACGTAAAATGCCGGGGTTTGGCCGAAAGGTTTGCAGACCTTGAGCCTTAAACTAAACTACAAGCCCCATACTCTGTTGAATTTGTGGTTGAGGAGCACCACGATTGCAGCTCAAAGACCTACCTCGTGGGCCTTACCGAGGCGGAAATAGCTAGCGTAGCTGTGTAGATTCGGGCTTTCTCTCAAGGGTTCGGGGTGAAAGCATTTTTGTTATCGGCACGCAGATTGGACACAAACTAAAGGCAATGCACGCTCTGGCTTCCTTATAGTGGGTCGATCCCCCTGCGAGGATTGGACCTACATGCAGTATACGTAGCGAGTGTGTGACTTGCCTGTTTGGTGTTCATTGGGCTTCCAGGGTTTGTGTCTCTCCGCATACGTCCACCCCACACGGTCTAAACCATGTCGGTAGTTGTCAAAATTAAGGTCCCCTTAGGTACCCTAAATAATAGGTGCCGTATTATGATAGGGACCCAAAAAGGGACCCTAATTTTGACAACCACCCATGTGACTCAGCACTGTCCTCATAATCGCAGCTTCTGCAACCGCACAGACCGACTTCGAACCCCGGAGCACAAACTCTACCTGGACGCCACAGAGCCTCAACCGTCATGCGCTCCTCCATACTTTAAAGTCAATGCGGGACCTGATTGAAACCGCTGAGAGACTCTTCGGCAACCCTTATAGAATCCTAGTCAGAAGGCATAAGTCTCTCAACACTCCCGTAATGCATGGAACCCTGGTAACCAGTCAGAGCTTCCATGAACCCCGCCCCTCGGAAGCCCCCTACATGCCCCCAGAGTCCCAATATAGGAGCCTTAATAATTGCCTGTGCTATTTTGGTGGTTCCTTTTTAGAAACTCTAGCATAGTGGGCCCCAAAACCCTATTCTAACTACTAATGCCACTAGATTATAGTACCCCTATAGATCCCTTATAGTAGCCCTTAGCCCTTCACATTTTAAGGAACCCTTAAAAGGGAGAACCCTATTCTAACTACGGTTGATGATATATGTAAATCCTGCATTAGCCACAATAAGGATTATACCGTAATTCCCATAGTTCAGGGCCCTTAAGATACCATCAACAGTATTAAGGCGGCCCCTTATAGATCCCCTACAGTAGCCCTTAGCCCTTTACCCTTTAAGGAACCCTTAAAAGGGAGAACCCTATTCCAACTTTTGAGGCCCAGAGATGACGACCCCAAAATCCCAAGCCTGCCCGCGCGAGGTGCAAGAGCAGGAAGTCTGTGCTCGCAGGCCGGTTCACTGTGGGAGGTTCCGAAAATTAGGGGAGACCTTCAAAGGGAGTCCTTAAAGGGGTCCTTAAAGGGGATCTAGAAGGGTTCTAGAAGGGGTTTAGGGTCTTTAGAGTTTCCGAAAATTGGGGGTACCTGGTTTTGGGATCCTTGTTATGAGGATCCTCCTATTTAGGGTACCATATTCGGGTCCCCTATTTTCAGAAACTTCAATGTTTGTTTTTTGGCTTGGGGTCGTAATCTCTGTTCCCTAATTGTTAGAACAGAGTTTCACAGGAAGACATCAGGTCCAAGTACCCGTCGAGTGGGGCTATTGGGGATAGGGACCCCAATGTCGACACCCGCCGCCACGTAAACTCTGAAACCTCGAGCCCCGATACGAAGCTCGGAAACCCACGTGCTGGACGGCTTTTCAGGAGCGCCTGCCATACCTACACGCTGGAAATGCTTCAGATGTCTACAGACTCGGTGCATCTCTCCTGGACACAGTTTTGGGCCATTTAAGCCGAGGGCGTTGGGTGTTTGCGGTTTTGGACTTGGACATTTAGGCTGCGGGGTTCACATTGCCGGTTTGGATTCGAGGGTTTGGATGTCAGGGGTTTGGGGATCTAGGGTGGTTTTGAGGTTTCACAGGCACGCCTTTCCTCCAGTCCCAAGATACTGACTGACGACGTCTGCAAATTCTGTACTACCACGAGCCTGAACCCAATAATCTAGCTGTGGAGGCCGAAAAAGCACAAGAGACACTGATTAGCCTGATGTGGACAACCCAAAAGCAAAAATAACCGAGCCCTGGAAATCCCATGGCTTGGTTAAGAAGATCTGGTTCGAGATCATCTTCGCAGATTTCTGGAATGCAGTTCGTTTCGGCACGCAGTTTTAGGCTGCAGGTGTATTTTTCATGAGACTGAAACTCCCAGCCTCACGTTTGGCGAACAACTCCCAAACATGCTCTGAATCACCTTGTTCCGTCAAGGACTTAGGTGTAGGTGCAGGACTAAGGCCCCCTCGCCCATACATGCTGAGATACACATCCTGAGACCCGATCCAGCTAGAGCTGCCAAGGAACATCTTCTCCATGAACAGACCTTCTCTACACGATGTCAAGGATGGGTCAACGGGCTTCACAGGAGTTGCTCTTCGTGGTGGCTTAAGGTTGAGAGTTCTTGCAAGTCTCTGTAGGTTTTGCATAGCCGGAGGGAACATATCGCACGACCCCAAACCCTAAACCCTTAAACCACAAACCCCTGGGCCGTAAACCCTCAACCCTACCAACAAAGGGCCAATATTGTCTTGCAGCTCCGGGCGGCTTAGCCGGGCCGACGAGCCTGTTTTTTCTTGTATAGATAGCCAACGGAACGGGAGAACTTTGAAACTTTTTGACCCTATATGAGTGGCCTGTCTTAGAAAGTTTGAACTGTTTTGGGCCCGATCATTGAAGAAGAGAGTTTTGGGCCTTAAGAAGTAGAAGAGGGTGTTGGGTACAGGGTGTACTCTAAAAAAGAGCTTGGCAAAACCATGTATGGATATACCGGGGCTACGATGACCAGGCATTCCCCATACAAAGCTGCCCTGGTCACAAAGGCTGAAGGCCCTGAAGTGCAGCCAAAAAAAATTCTCGAGAGCCGCGAAGCTCTGAAAATGTATTATTACTATTATTACTAATTGATTATTATGAATTATTATTACTATCAAAGTGCTGAGCTTCTTCCGCTCCCGAGCTCCAGCCCCCCTGAACCCTTGACCTCGTAGCTTCACACCCGAAACTTGTGACCGAGCCTACGGCCTCGTCACCCTGCATGTATATATGCTGGTTAAGATACTAATTACACAGGTCTCTTCACATAGATCTTCCATGGATAACTCATGGCTTAGCCAACTGGTCCTGCCTTGATATCCCATCTGCTTGCAGTCATTTTTCTGCTTGCCTGCGAGAGCCGTTGCTGGGCGTGAAACACTCAGCACTAGAACCTTGAATAACCTGTAGCTGCATCCCCTTATTTCTATACTTGTATCACCGCATACCGCAGGACGAGGGAAACTCAGTGGATGGTCAAGCCTCCAATCGGCCAAGTGATGCCTTCTCAACAGGCCCGGTCTGCGGGGATTACTTAAAGGATCATGGGACTTAGTACCTAGGGTTATAATTAAGGGTACCTATACTTATTACCCCAATTAAGGTACTGAGGACCTTACTAAGTCCCATGATCCTCCAAGTAGGAGGACTTCCGGCTCGACTCTTGTCGTGTTGTGCATGGAGCTTTTGGGTCTATAGGGACTTAAATAATTACCTGTACTATTTTGGGAGTTCCTTGTTATAGTCATAATAAAGCGGGCCCCCAAACTCTATTCTAGTGAGTAAGGCCCCTATATTACATACCCCTGCACCCCTGCATAGGACTGGAAGTATAAGCTTGCTCTGGCAGTGGACCGTGCAAGTGTTCCAGCTCGTATGACATCGTTGGCAGTTATGTGAGTACTGCTTGGTGTCGGGATCGGAGCTGCGCAGCTGACTTTCGAGGGCTGGGTCTGGGTCGCCAGCTTGTACCAAGAATCATACTGGCCACAGTGGCCACCCTGATGCAGAAACTGTCCTTTGAAACCCGTCCCGACTAAATCTTAAGCTATCCTAACCCCTTAACACGTCAACCCCAAAGCCTAAAGCCCAGGACCTCTAAATCCGCAAACCCTGAATATGCTCTGAACCCTGGAGCGATAAGTTTAAGGGTTAGAGGTTGAGGGTTTTGAGTTGGTTCATGTTCGTTGAACCCATCACAACGTCCAGAGAAAGCCAGGCACCCGGAGGGGATTGGGAGGATTTAGGACCCAGCAGTTTCTTGGTCAAGTTCCTCGAGGTTTGGGATTTCGCTTCAAAGGTTTGAGGGTTTAGGGTTTAATGTTTGAGGCTCTGAGCCGTGCTGGTTCGGGCTTCGGGTATGTATGCTGAACACCCGCACGGCTTCAACCTATACCGCAGCCGCCCGTGATCCAACCACCAAACCTCATATCCCACACACCCTTCGCCGAAACTGCGGAATAACTTATATACCTTAACCTTCATTCCTTCAGTCCTTCTACCCGAAGCCCTGAGCGCTACCCCCTTTAAACTTTATCTCCAATGCAGACATCCCGCCGGAGATCCTTCCCATGGAGAAGGAGGAGCCGGGACCGAATATAGGGGCATTAATAGGGTTTCTAAAGGGTCTATAACTATAAGGGTTACTATAAGGGATCTATAAGGTTACTGTAATAATTGTAGGAGCCTTAATAGCTACCAATACTATTTGGGGGGTTCCGTAGTATCAATTATAGTAGAAGGGGCACTAAAGCCCTATTCAATTATTAAGGCCCCTAGATTACATGTATGGCTTGAGATCCTAGTAGCAGGTAAATCCACAGACTCAAAGCGTAAACCGACATTCTGAGTGGGGTGTTTAGTGTGGAGGGCTGCCGGAGCAACCCTAGGCCCGTAAATCCTAAACCATAAACTCCTAAACCCTAAACCTGTATGATCCACGCTCTCCGAAGGCTTTCCAAAAACATGCCCTTCTGCCTTCGAAGACCTACGTCCCAAAAGCTTAAACTGTCAACCCCACAGCCTTCGAAGGTCGACAGAGGAGATATGAGCCCCCTACGCAACCCTACAACCCTTGGCTGCGCCAATAGCTCAATCAAACACTAGGCCTACCCCTAACCCTGAAAACCTGAAACTGTAAACCCTATAGTAAACCGAACCCTCAGGTCCCCATTCAAAAAGACCTTTTATGGGTGGTTGTCAATATTCGGGTCCATTTACGATACGGCACCTATTATTTAGGGCACCCAAAAAGGGACTCTAATTTTGACAACCACCCTTTATAGTAACCCCTCGAGCCAAAAATGCCTAGAGGAGCAACTGCAGTCACTGTTGGCCTTCCTTTGGACCTGGCCGGTGCCAGAGGGCCCTGGGTGGGGCTCCCGGAAACCAGGGTTTGGAGAATCGGAGTTAGCGTTTAGGGTTTAGGGTTTGGTATGCGGTAGTTGATAGCTGTGTGTTCTTTTCGAAGAGAGGGGGATGTTGTTTCATGACCTCTGTTTTTTTGTCAAGGGACAAATCTCCATGGTTTGGGATGTGCGGGTTGGGTTTCAGGGTTTGCTTTGAGCCACCATGGCTTTTTCTCGTGCTGGGTCCTGTCTGGACGGTCTTGAGATGTGACCATTGTATGGTACACCAAAAACTCTGTCGCCTGTGGCTGACAATGCAGATGCCCAAATCCCAAGCTCAACAGGCCCTGCATACCGTCAACCCTGAAGTGAGCACCCAAACTCCGCAAGACTTGCATTGTAAACCCCGTGCATTAAGGTGCTGTGACACGCACAAGGTGTTGACCGTGGCACAAGAACTGCCGATGGCTCAGAGGGAAGTTGGGTACCTGCTAGCTGTTCGTGTCGCGCGCCTGTGCCTCTGGCATTTATGCGTCCATACAGACATGTGTGTTTCCAAAAATAGGGGACCCTAATATAGTACCCTAAATAGTAGGATCCTTATTATAAGGACCCAAAATAAGGTACCCCTAATTTTCGGAAACTCCCACATCGCGATGTTAAACTGTTAGCTTTAACCTGTCAAGAGCAGCAGGCGAGGCCCTACATTCCACGCCACCCCCGCGGCATGAACAATTGACGCAGCATGCTACTGTCTTTGGGCCTTCAATTGAGGGCTTCTTCGGGCAAGGAAGGGCGGTGTTACAGCTACTATAGAATTTTCAGTAACCTCTAACACTACTCCTGTACTAGTAGTTCGGAACAGCTCAAAATGTTCCAAAAACCCCCTAGTCTAACGATTAAGTTAAGGCATACTAAAGCAGTTCCGAGACTCCTGAGGCTTTATAACAACTGGGCCCAACTCACTGAGTCTGTCTGTCTTGGGATTGTAAGGCCTTCGAAAGCTTTGGGAAGCAAAGTCAAATCGCCTGAGAGGCTTCAACTCATGCTCGATCTGTAGTAGTAACTTAATACTCGAAGAAATCTATATTATATGGTAGTAGTACTACTGCAATCTGGGGGGGGAGTTTCGAAATCGATTGGACTCGGAGGTTACAATCCTTGTGCTTGTCGCCACAATACACACCCCAACAGACACAGTAAGGTCTGAAAAAGGTAAACCGCGAATCCCAATTCCTCGCGGCGAGCATAAGGAGACCAGCTAAATTTTGCATTGATGTCACAGGAGCTAAGGGTGCAGTTGTTTTCTCGATCCACTGCTTCATGCAGCCGTGCCAGGTCCATGATTCCAGTGTCTATCTGCTTGTCGTGCATTTCAATTTCACTGTCCAGGTGTGTTACAGTTTCGTTCTTTGGTTTCCGCCCAGGGGAGCGGGGGGGGGGATCGGAGTTTGGGGGTTTGGCTGACGGGGCCTATACGTCCTCAGTGTTCCTCTTGAGTTTTGCTTGCGGGCCGGAGGGTTGCAGCACGCTTTGCTCAAGGGTTGCAGGCATCCGGACACTTCAGGCTCAGGGATTGGGAGTTACTTATACGATTCGTCAATGTACGTAACCGGTCTTGCCTACAATCTCGGATGAGGTGAGGACCCCATAATGAAGAGACCGGGTAACACAATCAAGATGGTAGACCATACCCTATACCCTGAACCGAAATCCTTAACCCCTCAGTGCTAAACTCCAAAACCTTTTCCCTCAACCTAAGAGCGAAACCTTTAACCCCTAAGCCCTAAACTCCCGGAGCCTTATAACTTAAACCTCAACCCCCAAGCCCTAAACCCTAAAGCCCTAAACTCTAACCTCCCAAAACCTTATAACAAGAACCTCAACCACCAAACCTAAAAGCATTTAAACCCTAAACTCCCAAAACTTCATACGTTAAACCTAAAACCCCCCTAAACCCCAGAGCCCTAAACTCTAACTCCCAAAACCCCATAAGTTAAACCTAAACCCCCCCTAAACCCTAGAGCCCCAAACTCCCCATCATTTCAATCCTCGAGGATCCACGAGCTCCTGGCAGTTTCTTGCCAGGTGCCATGGGGAAGCGGGTTTAACAGGGCTCCCTCAAGAGTTCCCTTTAAGGGTACCTATGGGGTTCTACACTTAGGGTTCCCTTTAAGGGTTCTATTCTAACTATCATGGTTCAACTACGGGGTACCACAAGGGTTGCTAAAAGGGGTTTGTGCTCAAAAGTTTTTAACGTAGCTCCATTAATTGTTTCTATGAGTTCAGCAGGGCCCCAGAAGGATTCATAGAGGGGTTGGTTTAGGGCTCAGCGTATAAACTGTTCTACAGTTATGTTGCTTCTGCGTCAAGTTTTGGGTATTTCACTGGCTTTTACTGTTTTAGGGTTTCTATCATGTTGCGTGCCGGGTTGTACCGATTTTGGGAGCTTTGGGCAGTTGCTTCAGGCTTCTGCATTGTTTTTTTGAGGTTTCTTTAAGGCTTCGTTTAGGGTTTTTCATAGAGGTTCCTTAACAAGGGTATTTGAGGGCTTCTGCAAGGGTTTCTGTTAGGGTTTGAGATGGCCGTAGGGCTGCTGTTGTGTATAGCGGTACATGATGGGTTTTCTGCTAGCTTCGAATGGTCTTCTGACAGGGTACCCAGTACAGAAGCAGACTTCAGCATAATATTCATCAAAAGCCCTGGTCTCTAAGACTGCAATAGCAGCAACAATGATGCTGCTCCAAGAATTTCGAACGTCTAAACCCTGACTCACTATAACCCAGAGCTAGTTTAAACATAGACCGAAGGAGTTCAGGACCTTCGGACCCCAACTACCCCTTTTGGCCTTGCGCTGCTGTTCAAGTTGCTTTGGGGGTGCAGGGGGTTAGATAGGATTTAGAGTCTTATTCTTCAGGCTCTCAGGGCTTGAGATTTCAGGGCTCGGCACTTTCATTATGGGCCTGGATGTAAAGGTTTTCAGTTTTGGGTTCAATGTTTGCACAGTCCAGGGTGTATCTAGGACCGAGCTTGCCCAACTCTCCTCTACGATAGTAGATACCAAATCGAACACCCTGGCTGCTAAACTCTTAAGGGGATTTTCTTGTTGGATCCTGGTAGGGATCCAGCATCCGGCACTCAGGTCGAAGTCATGTGTCCGCAGGGCTTTGGGCTGAGGGCTTCGGCTTTACGCACTGATTAGTTATTGGGTTCATGGCTGCGGGCGTGGGGTTCGGGGCTGAGGGGATATCGTCAGAGACCTACGGTCTGATCCCTTGTGTGTGTGACATGAGAGTACTTTAAATTTCATGGGTTCTTGTATTGGTCCATATCTATATATATATATATATATATATATATGTATATGGAATTTTGAACGGTTTTCTTGGGCCTTGTGATTGACGGAGATCGGTTTAGGCGACCTAGCAACAGCCCTGGACCTGTTGCTAGCGAAGAAGGTTTCGTACGGTTAATCCTAAACCTCAAACCATGAGGCCTGAGCAGGTTTCGTACCCGAAACGCTTTAGGGCGTAGGATTTGTTATCCCCACTGAATTCGGATCTGCAAATCCTAGAGAACAAGACGCTTGATGGAGCCCACTCGAACCTCGTGCCAAGCGCCCTAGACCTTAACAGCAAGCCCTAAAGCCTTCAAAAAGCTGCGGTACATCAACAAAACCCCAAACCCTTTATAGAACCCTTAGAGATCCCTTTAAGGAGCCCTTATAGATCCCTTTTAAGGCACCCCAAAATAACCTCATGAGCCTTAAAAAGCCACTCTTCCAAAGCCTGACGGCTGTTGCCGGAGGCAGCTCCCACCTGCTTGGTTTGGCAATGCCCCGGTTGCTGCTCGGCTGTTCCGGGGTTGTCGGGTTCCCTGGATTCTGCTTGGGAGTTGTAGTATACGACTTCGAGTTTTGGGACTTGTTTGTTTTTACATGTTTTTGCGCGCAGGTCTTCCGCTTTCCGTTTGGGGAGGATTGTTCCAAAGGCTCACGGCGGCGTGACTTCCTACATTTGCTTCATAATTGGGAGTTCCCGAAACTAGGGGACCCTAATATAGTGCCCGAAATGTAGGACCCTTATTATAAGGACCCCAAAATAATATGCCCCTAATTTTCGGAAACTCCCAATTCAAACCCCTAAACCCAACCGGGCTTCCCTGAAGAAGTCTGCTGGAATTTTCAACCACAAACCCTAAACCTGGCAAACCTGAACACCGGACTGAGCGGTCGCAGGGCAGATGTATCGAACCTAGCCTGCATTGCGAGGCTTTCAACCCGTCAGACGGAAAAACGCACCTAAACCCTGCACCCTAAACCTTCGGCTCGCAACCCTCAGCCCTGAACCTTCAACCCTAAAGATTAGATCCCAAACCCCAAGCCCTAAAACCCAAAAGACCCGAACCGCGGGTAAACCGAGGTAAACTCCGGGGACTGCCAAGTGACCGGCGGTATTTCGACCCGGCACAGGTCGTGTGCGGCACTTGGTGTTCCTCTAGGGCTAGGGATCTACGGATGGATAAGAGTTGTACCAGGCTTCCTGGTTTAGGGATGAACAGGAGCTATGTTCAGGTCTGCTGATATTTTCACTGCCGGGACAGGAATGTAGACCCTCTTCAGAGACCACATGCAGCGTAAGAAGAATCAGCACTGAGGTGTGGCCGCTGCAGCTGCTGGGACATGCTCTTCTGATTGTCCTGCACATTGGAAGCTTCTGGCAAGATTCGGAGAGGACCAGAAACACTACTTGTCTGCATAATATGTAGTATGTGTATGTGTGTGTGTGTGTGTGTGTGTCTTTTTGTTGTGTGTGTGTGTGTGTGTGTCTGTGTGTGCGTGCTCGTGTATTTGAACATATTTGTTTGCGCCAAGACCCCCCCCCAGATTCCACACGTACACATACACATCAAACGCATGCACATGCACATACATATATGCACATGCACATGTATAGGCACATGTATATGCATATGTGTCTGTGTGTATGTATGTATGTGCGTATGTCTGTATGTATGTATGTCTGTCTGTATGTATGTATATGTATGTGTATGTGTATATGTCTATGTATATGTATATGTATATGTAGATGTAGATGTAGATGTAGATGTAGATGTATATGTATATGTATATGTATAGGTATAGGTATACGTATATGTATGTGTGTATATATATATATGTATGTATGCCTGTGTATGCATGTAAGTACGTATGTATACAAATACACATGTCATTATGTATGTGTTATGATGTATGAATGCTTGTTTGTGTGCTCGTTGGTTTGCTTGTGCTCATGCATGCATGTATGTACGTGCGTGCGTACGTATGTATATATGTATGTATGTTGCGCATGTATGTAATGCATGTCAGTATGTAAGTAAGTAAGTAAGTATGTATGTATGTATGTATATATGTGTATGTGTGTATGTGCGTATGTGTGTATGTATGTTTGTATGGATGGATGGATGGATGGATGCAGGCAGATAGGTTTGCATGTGTGCATGTACAGACATGTATGTAAGTACAATATGTTATGTAACCATGTACGTATTTATTTATGTATGCATGCACTTAGATGTGTAGGTGCATATTTGCGTAGGTGTATGTGCAGGCGAAAATTTGGTGTATGTACATATATATATATATACCTATTATATGTATGTGTCTGTATATGTGTATACTCATGTAACTGTTTTTGAGTCAGAGGGAAGGTATTGGTGTACCAGCAAGTCGAGGGACTGAGTGGGGAAGAGGTGGGTGTTTAGGGTTTGGGCTTTGAAAGGCTCAGGCGGGCTGTGGGATCGTATGCCGGAAGCCCGAAGCCCTGGATCGAGTGTTCATGTTTCAGTTGGCTTTTATCTTTTGGGAGGGAGGGAGGTAAAGTTGTGTTTTCAGGCGGCGGGAGTTACCCATGTCGGCAAAGCCGCAGAGCACAACGAGTAAGCTTTCTGGATGAAAGATTTGTAGGGTTCCATAAATATTCCGTGCTGTTTCGTGTAGGCTGTGAGCCAGCAACCACACGGTTGGTATCAGACAGCCTGCTGCGGTAAGGCGTAACAGGCTATGAACTTACAGTAAACTGTTATGAGGCAGCTGCACATCACTATGACTATGAATACCGAGCATGCATTCAAATGCAATGTACTCATGGCTCACTTAGAAAGCAAATCCTTTCTGAGCGCTCAGCACCTGAGCCGAAGAATCCGCTGGACTCTTTAGGTCCGGACTTGGAGGACCCGAGGACCCGAGGGCACTCATATAAGCAATAAGGTCGTTCTATGTACATATGTTTCTGCACCCACACATACGACTGTAGATGCCTGTTAACAAAAATGTTCATTCAGGCGTAGCTATATGTAAGAAGGTAGTTGCAAGATGTGCAACACAGGGAGGACAGAAGGGTAGTATGAATGAAAGATCACTCTCCTGGGGCCTCCATGTATTGTTTAGTTTACGACCTGGAGGGTCGGAGATTGTAGTCGTGTTAGGACGAATTCGGACGCGGGAAATTCACCCCTGAATCGCAGCCTTTAGCTTGGTAGTTTAGGCGGTAGAAGGGGATTCAGTTTAGGACAATCGAAAATCCAAGTTTTACATGTGCACGCAGGTCTTCATCGCTTGGTATGTTTTCTCCGGTCCATAAGAGCTTCTGAGACTTGACTCCACTACATGGGACTTTCAACTTTACTACTTAGGAGTATTTGATGTAAGTGTACGGCGTTGACTTCAGGCTCACGACCCTGACGATTAGCTCGGGTTTAGGATTAGGGATAAAGGAGCTCCAGTACCCGTCAATATGATTACTCCCTCTGATTCTGCCAAATGCCTGCGAATTCGCTTCACCCAGCATTCCTCTGCATTGCTGCTTCTACTTCTTGCTGCCCTTCCTACTTCTGCTCCACCTATACTCATCCTAAGCCCGAAACTCCGAAACCCTAAGAACCGCAACAAACGCGCCGCCATGTCCAAAGGCTAAGCCTGACCTCCGTTGAATGCATTCGGGTTGTAGTTTTCGGATCTATTGCTTCTATGCTTTTAAACCTTTAACCAGTTATCATGCGTGGAGCTTTCGAGAGTGATAGGTGCATGGTGTTGGATTCGCTGTTGACCAGTGGTTTAGACCAGGTAGTTCCTCTCTGGCTCGCAGATGATATTGGAGGTTCAGAAGAGAGCGGACCCTGAGATATGGCACGTT